CTAATAGAGCTGAAAGGAAAAATAAACAAATCCACAATTATACTTGGGTTCATCAATACTCTGCTCTTAGCAACTGAAAAACCTACTAGACAGAAAGTCAGCAAAGATATCAAAAAGCTGAACAGTGTAATTAACAGGATATAATTGACACCTATATATCTAGATCTCTATTACATCTATCATGCAACAACAATGGGCTTCACCTTTTTTTTCAAGTGCCCCTGGAATATTTATCAAGATAGACCATATCCTGGGCTATAAAACAAGTCAATCAATTTATAAAAACTGAAATTATTACATATTTTCTGACTATAATGGAATAAAACTAAAAATAACAAATAACAAGGGAACCTCTGAACATTTGGCAATAAAACAACACACTTCTAAATGATCCATGGTTTAAAGAAGAAGAATCAAGGATAATTAAAAATACATGGAACTAAATGTCTAAAGTAAATGCAGCATACCAAAACATGTAGGTTACAGCCAGAGGAGTGCTCAGAGGAAAACTTATTGCACTGAATGATTATTTTAGGAATAAGGAAAGTTGTCATATTAATAATTTAAGTTCCTACCTCAAACTAGAAAAAAGCATATTAAATTCAGCAAGTGAAAAAGGAGCAAATTATTAAAATAAAGACAAATCAATGGAGTTGAAAACAAATACAATAGGGAAAAATTAGTGAAACAAAAAGTGGTTCATCCAAAAATTAATACTACTGATAAGCTTCTAGTAAGATTGACAAAATAAAAAGACACAAATCACTAATGTCAGGAATATAATGCTATTTCAGATTCAGCAGCCATTAAAAGGATTATAAAGGGATGTTGTGACTTTGCTTATAACTTTTACAATTAAGAAGAAATGGGCCAAGTCCTTAAAAGCTAAAAATTGCCAAAACTCAACCAAGATGTGAATAATCTGAATAGTCCTATAACCACTAAACAATTGAAAGCAGATTTCTTAGCAGAACACTTGCATGCTGAGAGAGTGGGATGATATTTTTATAGCGGTAAAAGAAACAAAACCCTTCCCAACCAAGAATACTTTAACCAGCGAAATTCTCCTTCAGAAACAAAGGAGTCTCCCAGATAAACAAAAGGTGAGGGATTTTATCGCGCTCAGACCTGCCTTACAAGAAATGCTAAAGGAAATGTGAAACCTACTTTACTATAAATTTAAAAAACAAAAGTATTGAAATTAACTGGAGCTACAATAATTTGTTAACGAATACACAATTTTCAAGGATGTAAATTGTGGCATCAAAACATAAAATGTAAAGAGGGGAATAAAAAGTAAGGTCTTTTAAGAGAAATTATTATCAGCTTAAAATAGAGTGTTATAATTGTAAGAGATTTTATTTAGGTTCATAGTAAACCATAAAGTGAAAACCTCTAGTAAATACATAAACAGAAGGGAATGAAGAATACCACTATGTAAATTCATCAGATCACCAAGGAAAACAGCCAGAAGAACAAAAGAACTATAAAACAGCCAGAAAATAATTACAGGGTGGCACTTTATCAATAATTACTTCAAAGTGAAATGGATTAAATTCTCCAACCAAAAGATAATAGAGTAGCTGAATGGATAAAAAACGAGATGCCAGGGAGAGTGTTTAAAGTTAGAAGACCAAGGACAGAACCTTAAAATCCAGTGATTAAAGATCAAACATAGAGCCTTCCTACCCCTGGTCCCCGCAAAAAAGAAAACAAGATCCAACTATTAGTACCTACAGGAGACTTACTTCAGCTTTGAGGACATACATAGTGAAAGTGATGGGATAGAAAAAGATTCCATTCAAAGGGAAACTGAAAAAGGAGTCAAAAACTGTCACAAGAGATAAAGAAGGTCATTATCAAATAATAAAGGGATCAGTCATCAAGAGGATATAACAGTTGTATGTGTACCCAATATTGGAGTACCTAAATGTAGTAAATATTAATACATTTGAAGGGAGAAATAGAGACAGCCATGCAATAATAGCAGGGGACTTTAATACCCTATTTTTAACAATGGATAAACTATTCGTGCAGAAAATCAGTAACATTAGATTTGAACTACATGTTAAACAACATAGACCTAACAGACTTCACATAAAATATTCCATCCAACAGCAGCAGAATGCACATTCTTCTCAAGCAGGCATGGAACATTCTTTGTGATAGGTCATATGTTAGGTTAAAAAAAATCAGTCTTACACAGTAAGTGCTGGTGAGGTTGTGGAGAAAAGGGAAGCCTGCTGCATTGTTGATGGGAGTGCAGACTGGTGCAGCCACTGTGGAATGCATGGAATTTTCTCAGAAAACTAAAATTGGAACTGCCTTTTGACTCAGCAGTTCCACTGCTGGGATTATACCCTAAGAATCCTGAAACACCAGTTCAAAAGAACCTATGCACCCCAGTGTTCATAGCAGCATAATTTATAATAGCCAAGTGCTGGAAGCAACCTAGGTGCCCATCAGTAAATGAGTGACTCAAAAAACTGGTACATTTATACAGTGGAATACTACACAGCAGAAAGGAGGATATGATCTCCCATATAAGTGGAATCCAATCAACAAAACAAGCAAGCAAAATATAACCAGAGACACTGAAATAAAGAACAAACTGACAATAACCAGAGAGTAGAGAGATAACAGGGGAAAGAAGGGAAAGGGTTGTCAAGGGACATGTGCAAAGGACACATGGACAAAGCCAAAGCAGGGTGGGATTGAGGGTAGGGCAGGGGAAAATGGTGGCAGGAAAAATGGAGACCATACTTGAACAACAATTTTTAAAAATCAGTCTTAACAAAATTAAGGAGATTGAAATCATGTTGAGTATCTTTTCCAACCAAAGTAGTATGAACGTAAAATCAATGACAGGAAGAAAACTACAAAAATCACAAGTATGTAGAAATCAAACAACATAATCCTAAACACCAATGGATCAAAGAAGAAATAAAAAGAAATTAAAAATATCTTGAAATAAATGAAAATTGCAGTGCAATGTGACAAAACTTACGGGGTGCAATAATAAGAGCAGTTCTAAAGGGGATGATTATAGCAGTAAATGCCTACAGTCAGAAAAAAAGAAAGATCTCAACTCACCTAACTTTATACCTCAAGGAACAAATTAAGCCAAAAGTTAAAAGAAGGAGGAAATAATAAAGGTCAGAGCAGAAATAAAAGAAGTAGAGACTAGAAAACAATAGAAAAGGTGAGGGAAACTAGGTTGGTTTTTTGAAAAGATAAAACTGACAAAACTTTAATTGGACTAACAATGAAAAATAGAAGACTCAAAATCTGAAATGAAAGGGATATCACAACAAATACTATAGGAGATTATTATGAATAATTATATGCTAACAAATTGGATTACCTAGAAAAAAAATGGACAAGTTCTTAGAAATCTACCAAGACTGAATCATGAAGAAACAGAAAATCTGAACAGACCAATATTGTAAGGAAATTCAATCAATAACCAAAAACTCCTAGCAAAGAAAAGCCAGGACCAGCTGGCTTCCCTGATGTATTCTACTTGGTGTTTAAAGAGGAACTAATGCCATTTATTTTCAAACTATTCCAGAAAATTGAAGAGGAGGGAACACTTTTAGATTCATTTTATGAGGCCAGCATTACCCTGATAACCAAAGCCAAACGAGGGCACTCGGGAAAGAAAAAATTACAGGCCAATATTTGTTGAGTATAGATGCAAAAATCCTTAGTAAAAAACTAGTAAACTGAATTCAACAGCATATTAAAAGGATTATACACCATGATTAAGTGGGTTTTTTGCCTGGTATGCAAGGAATGTTTCAACATATGCAAATGAATAAACACAATACCCCCGATAACAGAATAAAGACTAAAAATTATATGATCATCTGAATAGATACAAAAAAGTATTTGACAAAAATTTAACATACTTTCATGATAAAAACTAATGTGTTGTATACTCTTTGAATATATACAATTTTACTTGTCAACTACACCTCAATAGAGATGGCAAAAAAGAAGTGCATCTATATGTACTGTGTTGCATTATATGTATTGGAGGAATAAGAACAAGAATTGGAGGGTGGCTTCTGTGAAAATAGGTTTTCATTTTCACAATTTTAATCTTTCACATTTTTCTTATATTTTGAGTTATATGTATATTTAAGTATAATAGTATAAATAAATGTAGTGTTTAGATTTAGACATTGCCTATGTCCTTTAATTTTCATAATCTCAACATTAAAGCATGGCTTGGCTTGATGGTAAAGAAAAAAAATTAGGATCCCGGTTGGTGCAGCTAAGTGAATTGAGCACCAGCTTGTGAACCAAAAGGTTGCTGGTTCCATTCCCAGTCAGGGCACGTGCCTGGGTTGCGGATCAGGTCCCCAGTAGGGGGTGCACGAGGTAACCACACATTGCTGTTTCTCTCCCTCTCTTTGTTTCTCTTTTCTCCTCTCTCTAAAAATAAATAAAATCTTTAAAAAATAAAAAAAGTAGGAGAGTTACTTGAACTCTGTGTATATGTTGTCCAGAAATGGAACAGAAAGAGAGAGGTATTATAGAGGAGAGCCAGAAGGAAAACATTTGGGTCCACAGATGCAGGTTTTCAGGAAAATTTGAAAGCTTCTTTCTTTCCTTTTTTTTTTTTTTTTAACTTTTAGTTGGGTGATGACAAAGAGTGAACTCAAGCTCTAATAATAGGTGAATTGAGTATCAAAATCTAAAATGCCAGTTTCCAAGTAGAATTTAAGTAGAATGTATATTCACAAGAGAATATTAACATGATTATTCCTGGGGAGTAGGATTAATGGAACTTTAAAGAAGGGGTGAGAGAAAGATACTACTTTTCATTTCGTACTAGTAGAGTAGCTATTTAAATAAATGCTGTAAATGTATGTTTAAATTCTTTGTCAACACTTTCTTACAAACTACACATTCAAACTTGATTATATTTATTCAGTATATCTATTTAGTATTTATTTATTTAACCTATTTATTAACTTCTGTTATATTTTCAGAACTGAAGGCAGAAGCCAGTCTAATGGACCAGATGAGTAGTTGTGATAGTTCATCGGATTCTAAAAGTTCATCATCTTCAAGCAGTGAGGATAGTTCCAGTGACTCAGAAGATGAAGAATACAGATCCTCTCCTTCTGATCCAGGGAATTGTACCTCAGGACATCCTACTATGTCTGCCACGGCGCATTGCAGGATTTCCAGTATAGATGCTGGTCATAATAGATACCATGACAATAGTGGCCTTCTGATGAATACTTTAAGTAAGTATATATAAGTAAGTGTAAATGAGTCTACCTATATACATAAGTAAGAATTCACAGTGAAGCCATACTGATTATGATCTAAAATTTGGATAATTCTTGTTTTATTCATTTGGCACTATTATTACCTTCTTATTGAATTATTCATTTTCTTTTGACCTCTAACATAATGTCTCCTGTCTTTCTAGATACTTTTCATCTGTCCTTTGCTGGTTTACAAGTGTAATATTCTACTTGGTTATTAGAGCTGGAGTTCTTCATGACTTAATCCTAGATGGTTTTTCTTCTTTTTCTTCTATACTCTTTCCCTGGATAATCTCTATATTTCTGTCGCAATCAGTTAGATCAACTTGTACATTTGCATCTCAATCCAGACCTCTGGGCTCTAGATGCACAAATCCAGCATCATCTTTTAGTAAAAGTCATTTCAAATTCACTTAGCTCAAAACCAACTTGTAATTGGCTGAACGTGTTTCCATTTAGTAAAAGACAGGATTCGTCTAATTATGCAAACCAGAAGCCTGATTGTATTCAAGGGTTGACTTCCTCTCTTTCTTTACAGTATAGTCAGTCCTTCACCAAAGTCCTATTTATTTTACCTCCTTAATATTTCTCAAATTCATCTATTCTCTGTATCTGTACCACTATTACTATAGTTAAATATTCCATTATTTCCTGCTTCAACTATGCAATGACTTCCTGATTAGTTCATCCTATATCTACTCAAATCCATGTTTGATCTCTTGTGTACACTGCAGCATATTGATCTTCTCATAATTCAACTATAATTTGTGACCTCTTCTGCTTTAAATTTATTAATAGCTTATAATTCTTTTAGGATAGCAACAAAACACCTTAACATAATGGCCTTGCTCTTTGTGGTACAGTAACATTTACCACTTTTTGCCACTGTACTCAAATCCTTTTACCAAGCCCAAGGCCCTTATAAATGTTGTCCATTCATCCAGAAACACTTCTTTCTTTTCATGTAGTTAACTTTTTAAATTGTTCAGATGACAAAGTTTGTTTTGTCAAAAAAGCATTTTTTAATCAACTTTTTAAAAAATTTTTATTTAGTTATTTTTCAAGTACATTTTTTGTCTATTTCTCCCATCCCAGCCCCCCCTGCCCTGTCTCCCCCCTCTCTTCCATTTCCCCCTCCAGTCCTCATCCCTGTGTCTTTCATACTTGTTCCTCAATCAAAAAAGCATTTTTGACCTTCCCGACAAGATCAGATCTCCTTTTTTTATAGACCTTCAGATTAATATCTTCTTTATATCAAATGTCACAATAATAAATTTATATTAATTGTCTGATTTGCTCTCTTTCAAAGCATAAGCTTCAGGAGGACAGCAATCTTGTTTATTTTTGTTTATCATTGAATACTATTACCTAATAGTACCTGATATTCAGTAAATATTTTTAATAAAGGTATGCAGGTTGATATTCTCTGGGGATGAATAGGACTTCCTATATGTTTAAAACTAATCTCACTGTATAAATTAATCATGATAAAGTAAGCAGTTAGGAGAGACTGACTAGCTCTAGCCTAGTAATAGAATTAAACAATAGAGGAGCCAAGAGAGGGTCGCAGAGAGAGTAAGACTGTGAGTTAATTAGGGACCAGGAAAGATCTTTTTGAACTTTCATTATTTATATCTTTAATATTATTACTTATAACTTGAGGAGTAACACTGGAGCATCAGATTTTCTGTGGAGTTTTTTTGTTTTTATTTCCATTACCATTTAGATCCCTTGCTTCCCACTTTTCCCCCACAATTACCACACCGTTGTCCATGCCCATGAGTCCTTTTTCTTTTTTGTTCCATCCTTCCCCCTTCTAATCTCCCCGACTGCTCATAGCTGTCATCCTGTTCTCAATGACTCCGTCTCTGTTTTGCTTGTTCAGTTTGTTCATTGGATTCCACATATGAGTGAAATCATACGGTATTTGTCTTTCTCTGACTGGCTTATTTCACTTAGCATAATGGAAAGATAGTGGCAGAGGGTTTAATTCACTAGGAGGATAAACAGTTATGAATTGGTATGCCCATAATAACATATGTTTACCACACATGTATATATATTAAAATATATAGTTATATATATGTATATATATAAAAAATAAAAATTGACAGAAGTAAGAGAAATTTACAAGTCTTTATCATAGTGGAAGATTAATACACCTGTAATTGATCAGACAAAATTTAGTAAGGGCAGATAAAATCTTTTCACAATGTAATTTATGTACCTATTCTATTAGGATAGAATTCTACAATCCAAAAATGTGAAGTGAGTATTTGTTTAAGGTATACATAAAACATTTATAGAAATTCTTGAATAAGGAAATAACACATTTTGAAGAATTTCTATTTTTTATTGATTATTTATATGATTATAATACAATGAAAATATAAATAGCAAGTATTAATTTAAAATACATGCTTAGAAACGTCAGTGCACATGCCTAGTAACTTATATGTTAGAAGGAAGCCACAATAAAATTACAGAATATTTATAATTAGTATCAAAAATAATACATCTCATGATTGCAGAGGGGAGGGAATGAAGAGGGTACAAGGGGGATAAATGGTAATGGAAAAAAAACAATAAAAAATAAACTTAAGAAAACTAACAATATATCTCAGCAATTTTGTAATGCAGCCAACATGGTACTTACAGGGAAATTTATAGCCTCAAAAAGCTTTTTTTTAAATTGCAAACAGATGAATGAAAGTTTTATTTTGAGGAACTAGAAGAATAATTAATAACAAAGGAAGCAAAAGAAAAGTAATATAGATAACAATTTAAATTAATGTAATAGAAAACAAAGGAACATTAGAGGATTAAGAAAAAAACAAATAATTTCTTTGGAAACTAACAAAAAAGACCAACCTCTAAAAAGGCTGATGAATAAAAAAAAGGCATAAATAAACAATATTAGGAATGAAAACTGATTAAAATTATAGCTTTAATATGCTTTTATTTTTTAAGTTCGAGAATTTTGTTCCTAATTCTCTACAAATTCTACAAAGTTTCAGAGTATAGGAAATTAGGGAAAGTGATCCAATTTTTAGTAATTCTAGGATAATCTCAATGTCAAAACTGTATAAGAACAAGATAAAAAGCAATGTGGGTGGATTTCCTATAAGAACATGGATGATGCAAAATTACTAAATAAGATAGTAGCAAATTGAATAACCAGTGTACTTAAAAGCAAACTAAATCATGACCAAGTGAAGGTTATCACAAAAATTGAAGAAGTGTTCAGTATCTGAAACAATGTCAATATAATATACCACATTAACAGGTTATAGGAGTAAAGCCATATGATAATTTCAACAAATTTTAATTTGCCAAAATTCAGTTTTTATTAATTTAAAAACTTTTACTGAGGGTTGAATATGAGAGAATTTCTTTTGCTTCATGAAAACTAACTACAAAAACAAAACTATGGCCAATATTATTGTAATAGAGACTCTACAGGCATTCTCATTAAAGTCAGGAAGAAGACAATGAGGCCTCATACTGTGGTTTTTATTCAACATTGTGCTGATTCTAGCAAATGCAATTTAAAAAATAAAAGAAAGATATAATAATTGGAAACGAGATAAAATTCTCCTTATTTATAGAAAATTTGGATTTTCTATATAGAAAATCCAGTGAATCAACTAACTATAGAAATAATAAAAGAATTTGGAAAGATCGAGGATAGAAAAATTACATGCAAAAGTTAGTAATAATTTGTTATACCAGTAATAACTACTTGGGATTTCTTTAGAAGAAAATTAGTGAATTTATTTTCTCAATATATCTTATCCAATCTGCAGGTTTCCTAATAAGGAGAAGTAAACCCTCTCTTACATGTAACTATCCCATTTCTCGATTTTATCACAGTTTTTATAATAGATGATTTTAAGTCCCTCTTATTGTCTTAAAATGAATTTTATAGCTTATATACATACATCTTTGAAAATAATTTAATATGATACCAAAGACAAAATAAAAATAATTTATAGTTAACTAATATACAGGGGTGGGAAAAAGTAGATTTACAGTTATAATACAAAAATACAATAATTAAGAAATAGTAGCCCTGGCTGGTGTAGCTCAGTGGATTGAGCGCGGGCCTGCGAATCAGACAATTGCGGTTCGATTCCCAGTCAGGGCACATGCCAGGTTTGCAGGCCCGTTCCCTGCAGGCCAGTTCCCAGCAGGGGATGCACGAAAGGCAACCATACATTGATGTGTTTCTCTCTCTCTCTCCTTCCCTTCCCCTCTAAAGATAAATAAATAAAATCTTAAAAAAAAAAAAGAAATAGTAATATAAGAATAAACTATGTTTTTCATACTCACAACTTTAAACCTACCTGTGCCCACCCCTATATATCCACTCTAAAAATATTCAAGCATGGCTATACCAGAAGACACAGTGAAGTAGCTAATGTTTGCACTTACTTTTAATGAATAAATTTGTAATTAAGCAAGACAGCATTAAACTCATATTCTCAATAATTTTTATTTAATATGTTGGAATAAGGACTGGAAAAGTATATACATATACAAGGTCTGGCAGAAGTAACATCTGCTTGAGTGTGGTTAGTAGGGTAATAATGTGGGTGTAATAATTTATAGTTTTAATTTGAACCTGTCACCTAAAATGTCATATTGTGTGCTTGAGTGTGATAGTATTACATTACAGAATTACGTGCTTATGATTTTGGAATACAAAATGCTGTAATGAAAAGAAAGCACTATTTATGCTGGACTCTGTATATTCACAGACTTGCACATACAGACAAGTATTGAATTGCTGTATTGCTGACCCAAATACAGTGAGCAGCATTGTGATCACTAATTTGTTTTCCCAAACGATTAAAAACGGAAAATCTTTGTATGGTTCTGAGAAAAACAAAATAAGGTGTTCTTTTAGTTGACATGATAGCTACATCCTTGTACATTTACATGTATGTTTTAATCTGTGTGAAAATTTTTTAGTTTATAAAAAAGCATTTAGGTTATTGCCTGAAATTACTGTATAAACAGGTCTTCCAAGTACATGAATATCCCACTGGAATTTCAAGTTTTACAGAATGTGGAAGAGATCACTATTGTACAAGACTGGCCCTGGCATTGCAAGACATTTGGCATCTCTAAATTCCCCTCCCACTAAATGCCACTAGCAATCGGCAAATCATCTGGATAAGCAACTAGTCATGTAAATTACTGTAACATTTCCCAGGGAACAGTATTGATCTCATTGAAAACCACTTGTTTAGATGTCTAAAATGCATTTGCTATGAGTAAATTCCCTCTTTTCCAGGTTATAATTACCATTTCTATTGAAAACAATCAAAAGGTACTAAGCGTCTCATATTCAAAGGCTAATCTCATATCTCCAAGACTGAACATTTTAACAACATGGTAATACTATGCATATAACCTCCTATAGCAGGAAGTCTAGTAAGAAAAGTAGGACTCAGGATGTTTGGGTTTGTGTTATTCAGGAAACTCATATTACAGGCATCAGATCAAGTATAACATTCTTATGCTATTCAATAGTTGTAGAATAAGTTGGAATTTAAGTTTTGAAAATGATAAAATGGTCATGGGAGCCAGATGCACAAAGAAACTTTAGCAGATTTCTTAATCAAATGATAATATCAGTTCTGAACTTCAGATAATGGACTGAGATATTTTACAACAACTTGAATAGTGCCTAAAAACTACTCCTCTTAAGCTCTTCAAAATAGGCCAGCTGTTGTTGATTATGGATGAGTTAAAACTATAAATATATTTTTAGCCATTTAAATTTACTACCCAAATGATTTTGTCCAATCCCATAGCTTTCAAGCTTCAAATAAACCCCTACAATCGATGACTCCCAAATCTTTATTTCCAGCTCTAGTCTCTACCTTGAGTTCCAAACGTGTATATCCAATTGCTTATACCATATATACTTAAATATTTACTAGGTATCTCAAATACCATGTAAGTAATTACATGGTACCATGTCAAAAATTGACCTTGTGGTTTTTCTCATACAGTCTTGTTCTTCTCATGTTTCTCATCTCAGTAAATGCTCCAGTTTTTGATTCAGTTATTCAGACCAGAAACTTTGGGGGTCATTATTTACTTTTCACTTTCTCTTATGCCCCATAATCCAGTGCTTTTGGTAGTCATGTAAGCTCTACCTTCAAAGTATATTATAAGTCTGCCCACCCGAACCACCCGAGTCAAAACCAGTATTATTTCTTATGTGAGAAATTTCAACCAACTCTAAATGCTCTCCCTGATTCCAAGTTTCTTCTACTCCATTATAGTTTATTCAGTGGTGTCCAATTTGGTTGCCTGCTTATAATTTCTTTCTTTTTTTTTTCTGAGAATATTTTTTTATAATTAATTTTATTTAGTTATTTTTCAAGTACAGTTTTTTGTCTATTTTTCCCATCCCAGCCTCCCCCGCCCCTTGCTCCCCACCTCCCTCCCATTTCCACCCCCCTTAGTTCTCATCCCTGTGTCCTTCCTATTTGTTCCTCCAAATCCCTCCCCCTTTTTCCCCTTAACTTCCCTTCCTTCTCCCCTCTGGTCACTATCCCCTTGTTCTTTATTTCAGTGTCTTTGTTTTTTTTTTTTTCTGCTTGCTTATTTGTTTTGTTGTTTAGCTTCCTGTTAAAGAGTTCACACCATAAAGCCTGCTTATAATTTCTGATGAATTCCCATTTCAAACAAAATTCAAAGTTTTTACCACGACCTAGAAAGCATGATCTTCTAGATATTTTTCTGACCTCATTTCTTGTCGTTCTCCTCCTCATTCTTTTCACTCCAGCCACAGTGACCTTCGCACAGTCGGAGAACGCAAGCACACTTCTGCTGTGGGGCATTTTTTTGTGTGTGCCGTTCCCTGAGCCTAGACAGTTACCCCTCTCCATATTTTCATGACTTTATTTTTACATCTGGATCTCTGTTCAAATGTCCCCTCTTAAGGAGGCCTTCCCAACTACCTTATCTAATATAGCGCTTTTCACCACTCTCTCCATACCCATCTTTATTTTTTCAAAGTATTTATCCCTACTTAGCATTATATTCTATATTTTTTATTTGTTTATTGTCTGTTTCCCTCAATGGAATATAAGTTTCATGACCATAATCACATGGATGAATTATAAAAGGAATCAATGACCTATGCTTAACAAATACAATACAATATGCAGTGATTTTGACGACATTTCAAAATGATATAGTATGATCTTCTAAACCACATTTTCTCTCATTTCCTGATGTAATTAATCAGTGGTATAAAAAGAGGGTGATGTTGGTATGTAAAAGAACACTAAAATAATATCATCTACTAAAACTATGCTGAAGATTGATGGTGTATTTTTTCTTTATAGCTAGTATGGATTCCTTGAATTACTAATGATGTGACTAAATCATAGGATCAGCAATCTGATTACTAATGACAAAAATATTGGCTAAACATGATCACTTGGGATTACTTTTTGTATAATATTTGTTATCCAAAAATATAATGAATATTTAAAACGTTTTAGTTTATAAAAAAGTATTTAGGTTATTCCCCGAAATTATTGTATGAACAGGTCTTCCAACTACATGAATATCCCACTAGAATTACTAAAATTTTGTTGTTTTTTATTTTAGGAAGTGATTTGCAGCTGAGTGAATCAGGAAGTGACACTGATGACTGAAGAAACATTCAGCTATCCACATAAAATTTACAAAACATGTAATAATTTATTTTATATTAAGAAAAAAATTTCTAAGACTGAGGAAAATGCACCTTAACTTTAAATGGTAAAAGAAATGAAATTCGATTCAGAATTTTCAGTTGATGTTACTTTTTTTACCTTTTATGGGTACCAGCATTTTCAGTTGTTTTCATTTAATCTTAAACTTTTTTCAAGTTTTAATGATGAGAAAAGAGACTCAGAGGTTAGTCTCTTTGAGGTTAGTTTCTTGCCCACATATTGTTAGTTAAGAAGTAGCAGATCAGATAAAAAAAAAAAAGTAGCAGATCAGGTAGGTGTTCTATTGTTCAAGTTCAGTGCTTTGTTTTACCACATTGCTGTCTCCAATTGTGAAATGTCAAAACTATGGATTTATAATAAATTCTTTGATTTTAATTATATCTCCGAGCCTTTTCTATCTCATATTCCTCAAGTTTTGTTGAAATATATTAATTCTTGACATAATTAAGCTATAATTTAGGGTATGGTGAAGCTAAATAATTATTTAAAATAAGTATTTCATAATATTTTAATCATTTTCTTATTTTGCTTTTGAGAGAAAACTAAGCAGTTAAGTGTTGTGAAGATAATTAATATTTACATCATTAACATTTTTTAATCTGGATGAAAGATAAATATTATAGTTGAAAGCTACTGACCAGTAGCAAGGTTTTTTAATTATTAAACTTTATTTTTTTTAGGGCAGTTTTAGTTTCATAACAAAATTGAGTAGAAAGTACAGCAAATTCTCATATACTTCCTATCATACTCATGCACAACCTCCCTTACTATAAACATCCTGACCAGAGTGGTATATTTTTTACAGTTGATGAACCTACATTGACACATCATCACTCACAGCCCATAGTTTATATTAGAGTCACTCTTCATGTCATACATTCTTTAGGTTTTGACGAATGTATAGTGACATGTATCTACCATTACAGTAGTATACAGAATAGTTTCACTGCCCTGAAAATCCTGTGCTCTGCATATTCATCCCTCCCCACCAATTTTTAGACCTCTCTTATTTTTCAGTCTCCTTTTCTTTTTCAGATGTCATATAGTTGGAATTATATAGTATGCAGTCTTCTAAAATTGACTTCTTTCATTTAGTAATATACACTTAAGTTTCCTCCATGTTTTTTCCATAACTCAATTGCTAATTTCTGTTTAACAGTGAATAATGTTACATGGTCTTCATGTACCAGTTTATTTATCCACTTTACTTATTGAAGGCATCTTGGTTGCTTCCAAGTTTTGACAATTATGAATAAAAAATGTATACAACTTTACCTCTTACCAAAGACATATCTGTAAGTTTTTTTATCCTTAAATTTTGGTTTTAATCTCTTCTCATTTCTTCTTTCTTACTTTCTCTGACATACCTTTAGCTGATCTGTGTCTTCGGTTTTTTTCTATTTTATTCATCAATACTTTATGAGAATCAAAACTATGTCATTTATTACTTAACTCTAAAGCAAGCTCAAATATTAAAAATCAACTTGTCATTTCCTACCACAAAACCCATTGAGATTTCATGTTGAAATAATAGGTTGATTGGGGGAATATTTGTTTATAATATGAATCTTCCAAATTACGATTATGGTAGGTCTCTCCATTTATTTAGATCTTTTAAAATTTCTTTAATATTTTATACTGTTTTATACTGAGGTCTCGAACATCTTTCATTAGCTTTACTTCAGGCATTTTTTATGCTATTAGAGCTGATATTTTTTAAGTCTCCCTTTCTATTTGCTTCTGCTGAATTTAAATATCATTTATTTTTGGCTGAGGGGGTATGAGGCTGACACATGTGTCATGATGGGCTGGGAGGGGAAACTGCAGGTGGTGCAGCGTGGTCAGCCCTTACCCCAGAGGGTCCACAAGTTTTGTTGTCAACCTTTAAAGGTACAGAGATGGCAGAAAAAAATCAAAAGCTCTGGAATCTGGGACTTCTGGTCAAGATGTAGGGGTAGGTAGACACACTTTGCTTCCTTGCACAATCATAAGAATGATCACAACTAACCTCAAAACAAAAAACACCCAGAACTGCCAGAAAATTAAACTGTGTGGAAGTCCTGCAATCAAGGACTTAAAGGAGCCATATTCATCCTGATTTATAAGAGGAGCAGAGCCAGGGATGAGAGGATATGATCTGGCAGCAGCAAGTCAGCAGCAGGAGTAATGGGAGGTGCCGCATTCATGTGGGTGAAAATTAGGTCCCCTAAACAGCAAGAGCAAGGGAGAGAGTTACCTACAAAGGATTTCCCATAACACTATCAGCTGATTTCTCAAAAGAAATCTTGCAGGCAAGAAGGGGCTGGAAAGAAGTATTCAAGGTCATGAAAGGTAAGGACCTACATCCAAGATTACTCTATCCAGCAAACCTATAATTTAGAATGGAAGGGCAAATGAAGTGTTTCCCAGATAAGGTCAAGTTAGAGGAGTTCATCATTACCAAACCCTTATTATATGAAATGTTAAAGGGACTTATCTAAGAAATAGAAGAAGATCAAGAACTTCGAACAATAAAATGACAACAAACTCACAAATATCAGCAACTGAACCTCAAAAATTAAAACTAAGCAAACAACTGGACTAGAAACAGAACCAAAGAAATGTAGATCTCATGGATTGTTTTCAGTGGGGGGTAGGGGGAGGAGAAGGATGGAGGCAAATGGCACAGGGAATAAGAAACATAGCTGGCAGGCATAAAATAGATAGGGAGAGGTTAAGAATAGTACAGGGAAATGGAGAAGTCAAAGAACTTATAGGTACAACCCATGGACATGAACTAAAGGTGGGGGATGCTGGAGGGTTGGGGGATACAACCAACCCCCAGCTGGAGGGCAGGGGGGTGGGTAAAGAGGAGAAAAAATTGGGAAAACTAATGGCATAATCAACAAAATACACTTTTAAAAAGTAAAAGAAAACTAATGTCAATACCCTAAATTTGGTATTTGGGATACCTATAAGCACAAATAAATAGGTGCATTGCATACAAATGCTATTTCATCTGTTCTGCTAGATCAAATGCGTCTAGAGTTGCAAAGCTAGAGCAGGAGGAGCCATTGACATGATTAAACCTTCAAGGTATCTGTGACTCCAGTGGCTGACTAGTAATTTCATATGTTTTGCTTCTGGAAAGAATAACTACAGCTTAATTATTAATGCCACAGTCAAAAATTAATCTGGACTCAGGTAAAGGTTGTGAAATAGAGGACGAGTGTAAAAGAAGCTGGAAAGAAATGGTCAAAGTCTGAGGTAGTTTGTGGAAGAAAGGTCAGGCTTTTCCTGGTTTTGTCAATAAATTACTCAAAAGGGCAATGTAAAATTTTGCTAGCTATAAACCCTAGGTTGTCTCTCATGGTCTCAGTTATGTAATTCACTCTTCCGTTTCCTGACATCGTTGTTGGTTTCCTCATTTTTCTTAACAGCTCTCTGACCATTCTTTTTCTTTCCCTTTTGACGGACAACTACAAGAGCATCCTACTCTTAGCAAAAATAATACTGTATAAAATTCATTTATTAATCATCATGCCCATTCTTGTCCCTCTCTGATAAGGACTTAAATACATTCTGGAGTATTTGGGAGTCCATCCAATTTTAAAAAATAAGGAAAACAATATTTGCAATAGTGCCTAGAAAGTAACTGGTTTATAATTTTTGCTCAAATTAAATTTTATTAATGAAATAATGGATTAATCTTGAAGTAATGAAAACACTGGGAGTAAATTTAGAAAAAGAGAAGAATGATTCCCAAATGTACATCTTCACCAACACTTTTCTCTCATTTCGTTTAGCCCCATATCTTTAACTGCTTTTAGAATATTTCTGTTTGAACTTTACTATGTTGAAAACCAAAAATCAATATCTTTTGTTGTTTTCAATTTTTTAAAATTGATTTGATCTAAGAGAGAGAGAGAAGGAAACATCAATGTGAGACAAACATCAACCAGTTGCCTCCCATACACACCCCAACCAGGGATGAACCTGCAACCTAGGCATGTGCCCTGACTGGGAATTGAACCAGCAACCTTTCAGTTCACAGAACAACAGTCTAACCAACTGAGCCATGCAACCATGGCTCTATATCTTTTTTTTCACCTCTCCAAATTAAATTTTGTGTTGACTTTTCTTCACCATTGCATTTCAGTTTACTAATACCGATCTTTATCTGTCATGGTGAAATTCCAGTTCTGTCACATACTGGCTACATGACTTTGGACAAATTACTTAACCTCTTGGGATATTCATTCCTATAAAGTGAGCATAATAATAAGAATTAGAATAAATAGATAATATATACAGGGTTGGACAAAAGTCAGCTTACAGTTATGAGTACAGTTGTGAGAAAGCTTATTTTTGTATAATTATTGTATTATGTAAATATATATGTTTGTTTGTTTTATTGCTGTTCAGTTACACTTGTCTTGCTTTTTCCCCCATTTCTCTCCCCTACCCCATCCCCACCAAGTCCCACAGTCAGCCCCCCTCCATTGTCCATGCCCATGAGTCCTCTATTCCAGTTCTTTGGCTTGCCTCTTCCCCTTTTTTCTCCCATTGTCCCCCTCCCTCCTCCTCTCTGCCTTTCAATCCAGCAATTCCACTGCTGGGGCGATACCCTAACAATCCTGAATTACCAATTCACAATAACCTACACACCATAATGTTCACAGCAGCATTATTCACAATAGCCAAGTGGTGGAAACAGCCTAAATGCCCATCAGTAAATGAGTGGATCAAAAACTGTGGTACATAAATACAAGGGAATACTATGCGGCAGAAAGAATACTATGCAACAGCATGGATGGAACTGGAGAGCATTATGCTAAGTGAAATGAGCCAGGTGGTAAAAGACAAATACCATATGATCTCATCTATTTGTGTAACCTAATTAACAAAACAAATGAGCAAAATATAACCATGACTTGGAAATAAAGAACAAATTGACAGTAATTATTGTATTAGTTTTCATAGGAACAACTATAAACCAACTTTTGCTCCACCCTCTATGTTCTGTAAATGGCAGCTATTGTTATCCTCACATTGCTGTTTAAATTCATGCTTGGGGAATTGTATCCCTAACTATTTTGCATTCTTTTGCAGTTCTCCAGCATTGTCTTTCACATCTTATAATGTGTTGCTCTCACCTCTCCAGCTTTAGCTTTCACATAACTCTTCTTTGAATGAACTGGTCTCTGAGATACAACCCTTTATTCTCTCATAGATTTGTGTTCTGCTCTGAGTCAGGCAGTTACTAAAGCCAACACCCACAGGGTTAAACCTAGTTGCTGAAGCCACCCCCACCTCCCAGTGCCCCTTTTCCCTGTAGGCTGGCAGCTGTCCCGAGTGCTTACCGAAGCCAAATGCTTGGAGAGAGAGAGAGAGTAAGAAACCAGCTATGAATCCCTTCCAGAAAAATGAGTCCAAGGAAACTTTTTTTTCACCTGTCTCCACTGAAGAGGTACCACCTCGACCTCCCAGACTTCCAAAGAAGCCACCTCCGGTGAGTCCCCAGGGTCATTTACATCTCTAACAGAGACAGACTTGCACTTTTGCTTCTCTTCCTTGGCCTCTTGGAACTTCAGGCTGAACTGCATTAGGGTATTACAAGTATTCTTTCTTGGAGTTAGAATTAACATGAAAACCAAATCTAAACAGAGGTTTCCTGTGCTTAGGAGAGGAAACAGCAGAAAGTGGTAGTTGAGGTTCTTCATCTGAGACTCAGGACTTTGCTGTGTTTCATTGTATGTATGTTCTGAATTTATCTGGGGCGAAGGGGGAAAAAAGTAATTTGAAAGTCCAGGGAAACTTGGCAAGCACTTCTGTCTGGAGAACTGTGTGTGATTGTTCTTTCTTTACCAATATAAAAATTCAACCCTTAGTTCCCACTGTGGGCAGAGTCTTAGGCTGGACATCAGACAAATTTTAGAATAATAGATCAAGTCTCTGTTATTATGCGTTCCAGCTTACAGTGGGAAACAGGGTAGAGAAACAAAGAAGTAATAATATTTTTCATTATATACTTGTTTAAACACTTCCAAATTCATTATCTCGTGGAATCCTCACATCAAAATCCAGTGGTAGGGAGGATACAGTAATAATAGCCACTATTTACTGAGTTCTTCATATGGGCCAAGAGGTAGTAGTATTCTCATGTCTTTGGAATAACAGAATTGAGGCATGAAGACAGATAGAGTGACATGGTCAGGCTCAGTATGTTAAGCCAGCCAGTGACAATGTTACATAGCAAGTGAAGTGTGTTAACAAAACTTCAGCTTGCGCAATTCTCTAACTGTGAGCTGGGACGGTAAGAAGCTGATTCATTGTGTCTTCCAAGCAAGTTATTGTCATGCATTAACATATATTAATATTTAAGAGAGTTGTTTATATCTATCCATATGGGTAAAAGAATGAAAAAATAATTTGTTGCTGTATCTATTTATTCATTTTGTCATAGGTCTTCTGGTCCCATACAATGTAAGACTGCTTATAAAGATGCATAAATTTCTTATGAAATAAGAGGCAATACAAATCTCATAACATTTGACTTTCCCAAGGACAGATATCTCTATCCCCCTCTCCCCCTTCAAGTTTGTTGGACTATTATAATGCTTAGGGATTTCAAATAAAAGATAATATTCCTTATATTCTGACTGACACAGTGCATGAAATAACATAGTCCTTTTAAAATCCAATAAGATTACCAAAAATATTATCAAGTCTCTTTCATAGGATGAATGGACATTTAATTTTACAAGGTTTAAGAACTCTCTGTGCAAGGTCAAGGTGATCAATCAGTTTACCTTTAGCTATCTATGTTGGGCTCTGAGCCTGGCTCCAGCAGCCTCTGAATGAGAAGGCATCATATTGCCAGGATTCCTCCCAGCATGGCAAAAAGGGGAGGTGGGGACAAGGTTAGTTTGCACAGTGGAGCCAAGCAGGTTACTGACATCTAAATGTAACTGCTTGGCTATCAAGTGCTCTATATATAGGCCACCTCCTGTTCTGTATCTAGAAATAAGTGATGACTGATCTGCCCAGAGCCTTAGGCTTTTCAGTCAGTAATTGTGGGAAGATAGCAGGTCCTGTGTCTAGGATCAAGGAATGTCTGAGCAGTTCCATGTTAAATGAATGAGGAACAAGTCACATCCAGGATAGCTTCTATCGTTCCTAAATCAGCAATGCAAGCACTTTTAGTAGATAATAGCTGTTCCATGAATAGGCACCATTGCTTCACATTCCCTCTCATGGTGACTTAAAATAAATGAATTTTTCTGCTGTGGAACAAGACGGTGGTTTAAATGAGGGGTGAGGAAGATTATGCTTGAACCATTGTCTCTTCTGCTTTATAGAAAATCTGTGGCTCCAACTATCCACTGAGCATTGTTTTCATTGTGGTGAATGAATTCTGTGAGCGCTTTTCCTATTATGGAATGAAAGGTAATTGTGTATCTCAAAGTCTTATTCTTCTCCACTCACCCTCACCCCTGTTTGTAATGTCTTGTCTTCTTGTATGCACTTATTTCCTTTAACCACTCTTTCTGTCTTCATCCAAATTGGTCCTTTCCTTTGGCCAGGACTTATAATAAATGCCTCATGGGATTCCCCTAGTAACTGATACAGGGCAAGAATAGAAAGGCCTACTAGAAACCAGAACACAGTCTGTGAGAATATAAGCTGGAAAATGCTCACCATCTGAGTTCCATCTTCACATCTGTTCCTCAGTTCTGTGAACTGTACTGTTGCTGAGAAAGAGAAGGAAGGGGTATTAGAAGCACCACATTATCTTTATGGTTGGCCTAAATGATGCCATGTGTGCACATAGACTGAAGGGAAGAACACTGCATTTGTACACTCAACATCACCCCATCACAGCTCCTATGGGCCCTGCCTCTCATGCCTAGCACTCAATCCTCAGTCACTTCATTGAAAGGAATGTTGAAGGTCAAGATCACCTTCAAAGACCAGAGATCAAATGTACTTCTCTTCCATACGTCAATTTAATGCATCTACCTTATTTTGCTTCCCTTTTTTCACCTTAGCTGTGCTGACCCTGTATTTCCTGTATTTCCTGCACTGGAACGAAGATACTTCCACATCTGTATACCATGCCTTCAGCAGCCTCTGTTATTTCACTCCCATCCTGGGAGCAGTTATTGCTGACTCATGGTTGGGAAAATTCAAGTAAGGAAGATGGAAGATCGCACCCCCAGGAGCTTCACAGATTAATTGTGCAGAGATTACCACTTAGAGCCTCTTCCAAACAAGAGTATACAAGTCATCCATGACAAATAGAATCTAAGACAGACATTATTAGTTTTTCTAATATTTTGATATCCTTTACAATCAAGAGTTGTTTTATTTTTTCTTAAATCTAATTTTAATTGTCTATCCTATAGTTTCAGACCAGTTCATATTCTTATCTCAGGGGAAATAAATATTACCACCCACCAGAAAATTTATAATTTATAATTTTAGAGGCCTCAGTGTAGCTGTTTGATATACTCTCCATCTCCTCTCCATATTGGATCATCTCAACTCCTTTGGTATCTTCCTATGAACCCCTCTTCCCAGTTCTATAACCAACTCTTTTTTTCTCCTCTAACCTCTTTCTGTAGTCTCCTTCTTAAGAATATAAATATTTTTATGAGTTAGACCAATGATCTACTCAGTTGAGTATCTTTTAGGTCCCTGAAAAGAGCACCAAGAGACATTTTTCCTGATAGGCTAGAGTTGGATATCAGACATTCATCATCCAGTTACTTTCTATGGACTTGTCACCCATGGATTTATCTAAATTAACATTTCTCAAAGTACATTCTGTTGAAAACCGGTTATATAGGATATAATGAGTGTTGTGTAGGAAAATAAAGATCTCATGGTGAAATAAGTTTGGAAAATGCTAGGCTGAATGAAGCCTAAAATATTTCTTTACTGTTATAGCCTTCAACATACTAATATGCACTGTAAAATCTCAAAGAGAAGGTTATGTCACTTACTGTTTCCCAAACTTGTTTGATCATAGAATATTTTTTAGGGTATCTTGTGGACCTGTTGTTTCAAGGAATCCTCTTTAGTAAACACTGTTCTAAATCTCATTGTTCTAAAGTATTTAATCAGCCCCTTATATATGGCTACAACATATATGTAGAAAGAGTACTAAACACAGTTTTCTGACTTGAGAGAGGGATGGTAAGTAGGTGGCTGAGATCTGTGTTTGCTTCTGACATAATATTAGTTTCCAAGTCTATTCAAATAGGGGGCTGGTAGTATATGCAGAATGAAAAGAATAAGCTGTGGTCTGTATTCAGTTATAGAAGAAAAGACTCACATACGCAACTAGTACTGTACTTTTATCTATCTTCTAAATGACTTCCTTTAAAATTAAAAGAGTACAATTCTGGGATTTGGTGAACAATATCTTCCTGTCTGTTTCAGAGGAAATATAATGACCTCCATTTATGCTCTCATTCTCAATCCTTTTTGAGGTATTATTTTTAAAAATTATTTTCATCATATAAGTATAAAAATCTAAAGGTCTTAGTACAAAGGGTACAGCTTGATGAATTTTTACATATGTATCACCATTACCTTACATTATTCTCCCTAGGCTTTAAAATTTTTTTTTTTAAGATTTTATTTATTTATCCTTAGAGGGGAAGGGAAGGAGAGAGGGAGAGAAATATCAATGTATGGTTGCCTCTTGTGCGTCCCCCGCCGGGAACTGGCCTGCAACCCAGGCATGTGCCCTGACTGGGAAGCGAACCGCGATACTTCCGTGCTCAATCCACTGAGCTACACCAGCCAGGGCTCCCTAGGCTTTTTGTACCCTCAGTATTCCCCTCTTCAAATTCTCCCTCAGAAGTAGGTGCAAATCTCTGATACCTTTAAACAAACAGAACTATTGTTAACCCTCCTTTCAAACAGTGTTCTTTGTCTTATTACCATTATCTCTAAACTTTAGAAAGAATCATCTGTATTTGTTGCCTTCCTTTCTCACTGTTCATTATCACCCCTCAGAGCAGAGTAATATAATGTAATGCAGTAGGATCCAATTCAATTTAATTTACTCTGATAAAATTTAATTGAATAAATGTTTATCGAACATCTATTTGTTCAAAAAAGTAGGGGGGTAAAGAGATGCATAAGATACAAATACCTGCTTCATATTGCTCATATGCAACTACCTTTACTGCAGAGCAGCAGATTGTGGTAAGTACAATAAAATGTAACATAAATCATCTCTTTAGCCTGTTGAAAGTCTTCTAAGATCATTGACAGTGATCTTTTTGCTAACAAATTCCAGTGGTGTTTTCAAGATTCTTATTCAATTTGAACTTGTTTTAACATTTTAGTCTAGTTATCACTCTATATTTTTGAAAATTCTTTGGCTTCTCTAACACTGCATTTTCTGATTTTATTCATCATACTCTTTTTGGATTCTTCCTTATTTGGCTTCTCTGTTTTTCCTTTTGTTTACTTAACTCTTTCCTGAATGTAGGAAGGTGGATCATTTAGCAAATCCTATGGTGTCAATATTAGCTATACACAGATAGCTCCTCAAACTCTGTAATCTTAACTTCTCAGTATGTGTTATAACTACATATTGCCATTCATCTGCTGGATGTTTTCTACCCTACCCCACCTCCCAAACCAATACCGCCCACATTCAGTCAGTTACCAAATTCTACCAATTCAATTTGTATATAATACTTCTCACATGTGTCACTCTTCAACAGTGAATCTCACTGCCATTTATTGCCACTACTTGAGTTTTGGTCTTCATTACCTTAAGTTGATCTATTGAGAAAGACACTTAAAATGTTGTCACTGCTTCCCAGAACTTTTTCTTGGAATTGAACCTATACACTACTGGCAAATGAATCTTCCTAAAAGAAATCTCTGTTCACATTACTAGTCTGCTGAAATTTTTCTGATGACTTACCCATTTCTACTAATCTCAACCCAAATGACCTTTCTGCTTTTATTGTCATATTCCCTTTCAAGACTGTTTTCTAGAGAAAAATGAATACTACTATTTTCCTAAAATAGTCAGTGCATACCTTTTCTATCTCAGTTTGTTCTGTTTCTACTTCATGGGATCTTTTTCCTGCCCATCCTCCCTTTTCCAAATCCTTTAAGGCTTAGTTCAAATGCCTCCTGTGTTATGGATTATTCTCTACCCCTCAGCTTTCACTACTAGTCTCTGAACTTATTTTTTACCCTCACATAGCATTTACTAAACTCTATCTTTGTGTATGTCTAATATTTTCTTCTAAACAGATAATAAAGTCTCATTTATATTTCTTTCCTCAGCATCTAGAAGAGTGCTTGATAAATGTTTCAGTTAATAAATTTATTCACCCTCAGATACTCAAAAGTAGTCACAGGACTGATAGCTGTGGGAAGGCAAGAAGGTGGCTTTTATCCCTCCTGCTGGCTTTCATACCCTGTGACCCATGCCTATCAGTGGGAGCTGATGATGTTGGCAGTCACTTACAACCACTCTCTCAAATGTTTTTAGTACGAAATATGCTTTTGGATGTCCTGTCTACACTTCTGCTTTCTCTTTCTTCTACTGTGTTGATAGCATTTTCCCTCTCTCCTATCATCTGTGTCTGCTCAGAGGCAACTCTCTTCACACTAGGTCTCTTCCTTTGTGATCACTGCACATACTCCTCAGTTCCTAAGCTCTAATGAAAATTAGTTCTGGTGGTGGCATAAAATTAAAAATTTCTGCCTCTTTCCTTTTCCACTTCCACATTAACTGGGTCGCAATAACACTAAAGGAACACTAGACTATGAAATAGAATGTTAGGAGTTCTAGACCTAGCCCCAGTACTAATTGGAATATCACTTAGGACTGTCAAAGCTTTGATCTCTCTCATTTTATTTTCCTCATTTGCAAATGGAAGCTAGGTCAAGTCTGTCTAAAACATTCTGTGTTATATGATTGGAATTATAATGTTCCCAATGATCTCATTTCAAATGTGGATTTTCCAAGTCTTTCTTGACTTCTTTCTCCTTCTCTTAGTTTCCTGCTATTAGCCTCTTCTCTTACATTCTTCATATTCTGAACCTTTCACCTAAAAAAATGCCTATTTTCCTTCTAAGCCATGTACACTTCTCTCATTCATTTAGTTCAATGATTCAATATTGCTCTGATCTCCCTACTCAGACTCTATTACTCCAGCTCAGAATCCTTTTGATTTTTCTCTCTGATGATCTAACATAGGTCATCTCTTTTAGATTCATGATAGCTGGCCTTTGTCCAGTCTATTTTCATTTCTATTCTTTCTGCTTATTCTTTGTATTTCATCAAAGAGAACTTTTCCCCAGAAGATCCTTCCTACAAAATGTTTTAGCAAAACCCTGTCCCTTTCTTCTAATTTTAATTAGCCCTTCTGATATTAATTAGTCACCCAATTTTTTATCCTCTACTTGCCATTATAAATCTCCTAAGATCCCTTCCCTGGAGAGTCAACCTAGGAAGATTAGAGATTTAGAATGAGAAATCCACACTTAAGTTTCTGGTATTTTCAGCATTTCTCTCTGATAACTTCATTTTATTCATTATAATTTTACATTAGCATTTAATACTTTAAAATTACACATATAAACTATAGAATTTCCAAGTTTCCTTGTAGTACTATCATTCTACTTTTACATAAAGAGAATGCTAGTGCGGTGATATACATAAGGAGTATATTGTATATGTGGCCATATGCTTTATTTCAGTGTGTACATTTCTATGTATGTTCTCACTGGAATTCTTAGTCTTCTACTTTCTATTTGCCATTCAGATTTCTTGGAAAACAACACAACAGGAAGTCCCTACCAGCCATGTGATCTTTATCACTGGAAAGTCTATTCAAAGTCTCTGGCTCCTTTCTCACCCTTGATTAACCTCTAACATTCAGGGCAAAGAGTTCCTCTCTCCTTTTCTAGTCTATTTCATTCACCATTATTATTTCTGTTTGCATTTCCTAGGTAAATTTTTCCTCCCTCCCACCTTATTTGTCCTGGCACTGAAAATAGTGTGAACTCTGAGTCTATGTTACCCAAGTCTCTGAATGCTGTTTCCAGGCTGACTGATTTAACTCTCTCAACAGGACAATCATCTCTCTGTCCTTGGTGTATGTGCTTGGCCATGTGATCAAGTCCTTGGGTGCCTTACCAATTCTGGGGGGACACATAGTACACACGTGAGTAAAATTATGGGATAAACAGAACCACTTTCTTCCTTTAGACAGGTAAATGTCTCATGTATTCATCACAGATTATTTTCCATTTTCTTATCAAATATGTCTCTTTATTTTACAACCTATTGTTGTCTTATTGCCAAATTGGTTAAGAAAAAATTATTTACTGGTTGAACTCTTTTCTACTTTATCTGAGTTTATTTGTTTTATTAAATATTTGAGTACTTATAGATTGCCTAGTTAGTATCCTCTTCATAAAAACTCACCATATGCTTGAAGATGATCATTAAAACCTTTCTGCCCTGCATATTCCCTCACTATTCACCCATCCAGGCATCTGTACTTTACCAGGGTAAAAAAAAAAGTCTGTAATATTTCTTTATAATTCATTATAGAAGTCATATTCTAAGCTTGGATATTTTTCATTTATTTGTAATTCCATATATTTCAGCTGCTGTATCCATTTTTACTAAAGTTATTCACATTTATGGGACAAGAAGCATTTGATAGCTTTTTATTTTTGTTGGTTCAGTCAGTAAAGATGATTACATTTGTTCAAGAAATGGGTCATATGTATTCATGTTTATAATGTGCCCATGCATGTATTTATCCTGTAAGTTAAGAATTTTGTTTGCAATTTAATAAATATTAGATACCTCCTTATTGGTGCCCCATCAAAAATCAGTGACACTGCTCCTACTAATTATGATGAATTTTAACATTGTGTTGTGTGCTTAGTAATAGTATATGGGATAAAGGTTCATAAGATCTTTCCATTGAAGTGTCTCTTTGACTAAGACAAGACAGAGAACCAGAGCTTTAATTTAGAAGTTGCTGCAGTGTGTGCTTTTATCCATTGGGTACATGAAAATGTCAGGGACAAAACCCTCCCATGCAATACATACTTCCTGGTGGAGGCTCAAGGGTCATAAAGCTCTTAAGTGTCCCCAAGTCTATCCTAAGAGTAAAAGGAGATGGAAAGTGCCCACAGGTTAGAAATGTAAAGGGGATCTTTGCCGCTGTATGCTTTTTTTCTCTCATGTAGCTCTATATTCAGTTTCTACAGATGGGTTTAACAACAATATGGTTAGTGTCCTCACCTCTCCATTTCAGAGTCCTATCATTGATCGGCCTGAGTCTAATAGCTTTGGGGACAGGAGGTATCAAACCCTGTGTGGCAGCTTTTGGTGGAGACCAGTTTGAAAAACAACATGTAAGAGTCCTTTTAATACTATTTTTTCAAGAATGTAGAACAAGCATTAAAAGAGATACCTGGCAGGTAGCCATTTGCCAAGATTGAAGTAATTGACTGGTGAGATGACATCTAAGGAGTTACGTTTCATTTTGGGTACTGGTCATTAATAGAGTGAAAAAGTGAAAATGGTCAAAGGAAAGTGACCAGGGTGTTAAATGGACTAAAAGACACATCTTATGAAGAAAAGTTGAGGGCAAAGGAGATAATAGCCTGGATAAGACAAGAATTTAAAAAATATAATAACTCTCTATACATTATGGACAAATGTAAGTTATTAAGCCTGAGACCAAAGTGATAGGAAACTAGCATTTTGCTTGATGGAAGGAAAATCTTTAAATAGTCAGAGTTTGAAGTAGAGAGTTTACTCTCACTTGAACTATTTAAGAAGAAACACGGCATGCACTTTGGGAATGAGAGGGGATGAGTCGTGTAGAGATGATTTAAACATCTCTAGTTTTTGAAATTCTATGAAAGGGTAAAACAACCAAACAGAATGAGTTTCTAAAGATGAACTCATCTAGATCAGCAATTGTCAACTGGTGTGCTGCAAGAATTTTTAAAACATGCATTACCTGATTATTTTTTAGCCAGGGGCACTGACCTCTTTTCCCTTAGGTTGTCGAATTAAAAAAGAAATCACAACAAGCAACACAACAATACCCATCTGGTGTGAATAAATCAAAATTAGATATATTTTTGTCAGATCAGCAAAAAATATGTAGTTTGATGTGCCAGAGAATTTTGGTAATTAGTTTATATGTGTCATGAGATGAAAAGGTTGAAAATCTCTGGGCTAGATGATTATTCTCTCTTTTTCTAAATGCTTTTCATTGTCAAGGGGGGAAAAACAGTGTGAATAAAGTAAAAATGATGCTGTATAAGGAAGCAATGAGAAATAGGCAAGGGAAATAGTCTATTCTTAGAGCAGCCAAAATTTCTGGCTTCTTCTCTTTTGCTCTCAGTTTCCTTTTTGGTCTGTCTTCATGTATGCATTCCCTCTTCTATAGATATTTGTCATGTTTCCAGTTTTTCTCTCTCTGCTCTCTTTTAGTGTCTTATCTTCTGTGGTCATACTTAAATGGTCTCTTACTCTTCAGACCGCTCTAGTAATCATTTTAGATTCTTCATATGTCTTGGTGTCCATAGATCGTAATTGCCTCCTGGGTTTGGAGAAGTAACACAACTTTGCCAGGTGGGATTCCTTGAACAATGAGCTGTACAAATATGTGGGTGAAGTAAAGTTTAAATAGAGAGCAGAAAAGGAAGTGAGATACACTGTAAAATAGAAACTAGGAAGGACATTTTGCTGTGTCAGGAAAAGATCTGGGGTGCCAAAACGAAGCACAGCAGTACACAGCAAATTAGTGACTTTATTTGAAATTTGCCTCATTGGTAACTGCTCCACAAAGATATTTAATGATAGGACATACCCACCTCCAAGTTTCCATCAGCCACTCCCCATAAGCACTAAGCGAGTTACCCTGCTTGATCAATAGTTTACTCCATCATCCTATGTTCTAATCCTATTTCTACCATGTATTCCACAAGATCTGTTATTTAAATCAGTCAATCAACCACTTAATTTGGTCAATAAATATCTATTTAGTCTGTAATATCTGCAGGTGCTACGCTAGATTGGGGATTACATAAATGAGTGACACTTCATGATTTCTCTCCTAAGGGAACTCACAACATACTGAAACAAACATTTAATGCAAATAAATAAATAAATATAGGACACAGTGACATAGTGTACAGTGTATTTTGCCTAGATAAAAGGGTAAAAGAATGTTAAAGATGCTTGTGCTGGGATTTGAAAGATGGGTAAGTGGTTGTATGGAGTGAGCCAGGTCTGTTTTTAAATATGTAATATGATATTCAAATACCATGGAGGCAACATCTGAATCTTTGTGTGTTTACTTCCAGCTGAATCTGAACATAGCATAGAGTGCAGCTAAGAGGCATATCGAACTGATGGTGTTTCATGTTTGTTTCAGGAAGAGGAGCGGACTAGATACTTCTCAGTCTTCTACCTCTCCATCAATGCAGGGAGCTTGATTTCCACATTTATTACACCCATGCTGAGAGGTTAGAATCTTCTCTGTGGGGCCCTATATAAAGCTTTACTCCTGTCTGCCAAAAATATCTCCAAGACTTCCTGCTGTCCATTCTCCTCTTTTATAAGGGCTTGAAAACCTGAGAGAATTTCTTTCAGTCTTGATTTGTCTGACCCCAAAGAAAGATTATGGATTAGGTGATGGGAGGAAAGAGGATGTCTATGTCTACAATCTCAAAAACCTGAGCTTGCAGAATAGAACATCAAAGACTCAAGAATCAGGGTTATTTATTTATTTTTTCTTTAGGAGATGTGCAGTGTTTTGGGGAAGACTGCTATGCACTGGCTTTTGGAGTTCCAGGACTGCTTATGGTAATAGCAGTTGGTAAGTCCAGTGGGGCAGAGGAAACTAATAATCACTGATGCCCGCCTGCCACATGTAAAACATCATGTAAGCACTTTACACAAACTATTTTACTCAATCCTCACACAACTCTCTTAGGTAGGTGTTATTATAGGGGTTTCCCCTAAACACTGGAGATAAATTAACTGAAGTCAGAAACCTGTTTTAAAAAGTACCCAAGGTTACACAACTAGTAAGAAGATTCCTGGAGAGCTTGAAAAAAGGCTGATCCCTGGGCTTGATGTAGAACCAATTAAATCAGTTTCTCTGTGGAGTAGGGCCTGATCATCTATAATTTTTTAAAAAGTCTAGGTGATTCTAATGTGTAGTCAAAGTTGAGTTCCACTGTTATACACTACAGTATGTGTGGAAGAAAGGAAGATAATTAATCCTTTCTCTTGAACTAGCTTATTTCATCTGATAGTTATTCATCTGGTAATTGGAAGACATTCTTAATTCGTTGGGCTTTATAAAGTCACTTCTAGGTTTAGCTGTTTCTGCCCTACTCTGCAATGCTCCCAAGGAGTTTGCTTTTGAGCAAAGAGAATAAGGTAAGTTGAATAAGTAGGTGGGGACTCATGCAACTTAAATTAATTGGCATTCTCTTTACCACTGAGAACCCAGCAATGCAAGAGGAATGGGGATTTGTGGATTACTTAGTTTGTGCAGTCTAAGGGGAAACTTGGACTTGATTGTCTCTAGTCATTGACCTGGAAACCTGTTCTCACTCTGAGCCTTTGGGTAACAACCCCCTGGATGAAGTCCAGTACAAACACATAAAGAACTCAGTAGAGTAAAAGAGCCCGGAGACTCAGTGTTCAGTGTGATAATTTTCTACAGAGGATGGCTAATAGTAATACTTAGATTCCAATTATAATTTCAAGAAAATGCATGTGTTATTCAGAAGAACTGTGATAATGCATTCCCTGCTTCCTTCAAAGCCAACATTTTCCCAAATAGTTTCCTGGTTTTCCAGTGATTAAAACTATGTCTCCTTCTCTGGATCATTGTACACTAATAATATTTAAATATCAGAGTAATTATAAAGACCAAAAGAGGTGCTACAAGTGAAATTTTTATAAATTATGAAATGTTAAACAAATATTAGCTGTCATTATTATTCAGCTACTTCACTTTTCTTTTTAAAAAACACTTTTTATTGATTATGCTATTACAGTTTTCCCAATTTCCCCCTCTATCCTCTCTCTCTCCTGCCTCCCCAACCCTCCAGCATCCCCCACTTAGTTCATGTCCATGGATTGTACATATAAGTTCTTTTAGTCCTCTGCTTCCCATACCATTTTTATCTCTCCCTGTCTACCTTATGCCTACTAACCATGCTTCTTTTTCTCTGTATCTTTTTCCCCCTATTCCTCCCTTACCCCTCCCCACTGAAATTCCTCTATATGATGTCCATTTCTCTGATTCTGTTCCTGTTCCAGTTGTTTGCTTAGTTTTTGTTTTCACTGTTTTTCTTTTCTTTTAGCTTCATTTGTTGATAGTTTTGAGTTTGTTGTCATTTTACTGTTCATATTTTTTATCTTTTTCTTAGATAAGTCCCTTTAACATTTCATATAATAATGGCTTGGTGATGATGAACTCCTTTAACTTGACCTAATCGGAGAAGCGCTTGTTCTGCCCTTCCATTCTAAATGAAAGCTTTGCTTGATAGAGCAATCTTGGATGTAGGGCCTTGCCTTTCATGCCTTCAAATACTTCTTTCCAGCCCCTTCTTGCCTGCAAGGTTTCTTTTGAGAAATCAGCGAATAGCTTTATGGGAATTCCTTTGTAGGTAACTCTCTCCTTTCCTCTTGCTTCTTTTAGGATTCTCTCTTTATATTTAATCTTGGGTAACTTAAGGATGATGTGTCTTATTGTGTTCCTCTTTGGGTCCAACTTGTTTGGGACTCTCTGGGCTTCCTGGACTTCCTGGAAGTCTATTTCCTTTGCCAGATTGGAGAAGTTTTCCTTTATTATCTGTTCAAATAAATTTTCAATGTCTTGGTCTTCCTCCTCTCCTTCTGGCACCCCTGTAATTTGGATATTGGAACATTTCAGGTTGTCCCAGAGGTTTGTAAGAGTCTCTTCGCTTTTTTGAATTTTTGTTTCTTCATTTTGTTGTGGATAGATGTTTATTTTTTAATTTTGTTCCAAATTGTTGCTTTGAGTCCTGGTTTCCTTCCTGTCATTGTTGATTCCCCAAACATTCTGCATTATTTCACTTTGGGTATCTTTCATTTGTTTTTTCATTTTTTGACCCAGCTCAGTCAGATCTGTGAGCATTTAAATTCTCCATTGGATAGGTTGGTGATCTCCTCCTCGCTTAGCTCTCTTTCTGAGGCTTTGCTCTATTCTTTCATTTGAGCCATATTTCTTTGTCTTGGCACACCTCATAAATTGTAAGGGGCGGAGCCTTAGGTATTCACTCTGGCAGAGCATCCCTCCTTGGTGCACAGCAGTGTTGTCTGTGTGGGAGGGGCCTGAGAGGGAACAGGGCAGCTTGCTTTCTCATCTCTAGCGCACTTTTCAATGGACTCTTGCGTGAGACTGGGAACTTCTCCCACTACCAAAACCCTGGTAGCCCCCACAGCTACCTCTGAGTCCCCTTAAGTCAGCCTCTCCCAAGCAGCCCACCAAATTCAGTATCCAGCCCCTCCCCCAAATGTCTGCATGGTTGCTGTGGTTTTTCTGAGTCGCTCATGCTGTCTACCACCTTACTGGTATGCCTGTCCTGGTTGATTTTTTCTTTAATTCCTTCGTTGTCAGAGTTCCATGCATTAGTTTTTCTGGTGCTTTTGGTTGTTTATTGATTTCAGATTGGTTGTTATCCTCCTTTTGGTTGTGCAGGGAAGCAAGGGGTCTTTACCTACACCTCCATCTTGGCTGGAACTCTGCTTCACTTTTCTTGGTACTAAAAATAACTCAATAGTTTGAGTTTTCACTGTAATTAAATTAATCAATTTTTTTCATTCATTCAACAAACATTTGTTTAATATTTCTATGATGTGTCAGATTCTGTACTAGACATTGGGGTCATATTGGTGCATGAGAAAACTATAGTTCACGCTTTTAAAAAAAGTTTTAAAAATGGGACAACTGTAACTAAACAACAGTAAAAAATTAATTAATAAAAAAATTTATATAGCCCAGCAGGAAGAGGAAGACAGACAAGTAAATAGGAATTTACAATATGATACAATCAGTGTCACAACTGGGGACGTATATAGAAGCTATAATAACACGTAAGAGGAATGTCTGAATAAGACTTTGAGGATCAAAAGAGGTTTGCCTACAGAAATGATGTCTAAGGGTAGAACTAAAGAATTAACAGCAATTAATCAAAGAAAAGATTGGAAGTGAAACAGAAATAGGGCATAGTATCTGTAAGACAAGGAAGTGAAATATAGTATGAAATATTCAAAGGCCTTAAAAGAATTCCAATTGCCTGGAGCATAAATGAGAAAAATAAAGAGAAATAGAAACCAGATAATGAAAGGCCCTTTAAGTAATTAAGGAATTAGAAGTTTAGCAGGAGGACAGTGGAAGACAAAGAGATTTTGAACAAAGGAACAAGTGTCAGATTTTAATTTTTCAGTAGTGTCTCTGACTGTAGTGTGTAGAAAGGGTGGGTAAAGAATACTATCTATCTTGATTTCTGAAATTTTGGCACTTCACTGACTTGCATGCTCATCCTAAGTGCCTCATGCAATTCACCTTTTCCCAGCCCTGGCAGAACTGACAAAACTTGATATGATTAGATTTGTGAAGTGAGGGAGAAGGTAAGTCAAAGTTCAATTAATGGCTCCGACTTGAGCAGCTAGGTAGATAGTGGAGTCATAAATTGAGATAATGAGGGAGAACAGGTTTGGGGCAAGTCCAATGAATTTAATTTTGGGCAGGTTACATTTTAGGTACCTTGGCATATATAATTAGAGTTATCAAGCAATTATTTGGAAGTACTGGTATAGAGCTCAGAACAAATGTTTGGGCTGTACATAAATATCTGGTGCTATTAGTAAAAAGACAGTGATTAAGCCATAGAAATAGTGGAAATAACTAAGAAATAATGAGGCTAAGGTAAAAAGATGGTTAGGATAAAACCCCAAAGAGTACCAGCATTAAAAGATAGGCAAAGACTGCCCTGGCTGGTGTGGCTCAGTGGATTGAGTGCTGGCCTGCAAACTGAAAGGTCACAGTTTGATTCCCAGTCAGGGCACATGTGTGGATTGCAGGCCAGGTCCCCAGTGGGGGTGTGCAAGAGGCAGTCAATCAATATGTCTCTTGCACATGGATGTTTCTCTCCCTTTCTTCCTCCCTTTTTTCCCCCTCTGTAAAAATAAATCTTTACAAAAAAGATAGGCAAAGAGGAAATGCCCACAAAATATCAAGAGGACTTCAAGAAGAAAGGAAATCATTCCATGACAAATATCACTGAGTAAGAAATTGAATTAAGGGTAAAAAATGTCCATTAAATATAGCAACAAGAAGGTCATTGATTTGTTGATATCAATTATGGTAGAATGGTGGAGATTCTGGGAAGTGAATAAGAGATAAGAAAGGGAAACCAGTAAATATTTATAGCTCAAAGGTGACATGGAGTCAAGAGAGGTCCAGTTTGTGGAGTCCAGTCCAGTCATGGATCCATGAGAAAGGCATCTTCCGTAAATGATATGCTAGATGGACATCTTGCTGGAGCTGGAAAGTCCCTTAAGGAGGAAAGTACTTCCGGGAGGGTAACAAGATGGACTCTTCCCATTGATTTTAGCTAAACTCAATAAATTTGAAAAAAAATAGTCAAGTCTAGTCATGCTTGACTATTATTGGGAACACTCCATTAAAGAGAGGTTTAAGATGCAGGAGAAGACAATGTAATTAGTATGAAAGCACACCTGGCAGGATTACCTTTGTGCAGGAGGAGGAGCATTACCTTCATCTAACTGGACTGAGGAAGTTGAGGGAATTTCCATTTTCTTCTACTTTCATCAAGTAAGAGGAAATATCATCTATTCCAGAGATATGAGGAAAAGGGGTTCTATAATAAATTTGACAAGTCCAATGACCGAAAGTAACCTCCAACAGCTATATGATCATAAATTCCTAACTGGCCACTTCCTGGTGGGTACCATGCCCCAGGCATATTACTGCTTTAGTTAAAGGTTTATGTTTGCCTTCCACAAGCCTTGCCCATGCTTTTGTGCATCTAGGTTAATACACCTTTGAAATGCCTCTTTTCCAGACTCCTCAAAGGTGTACGCACCCTTGAGGAAGTACATAATCTTGTCAACCGTCCTATAATCCAATCCCTGCCTTGCTTTCTCCCACCTTTCTGTAAACTTCCTTTCCCAATTCCTTAAGTCCAAATGTATAAAAGGAACTGCATAACTGTCATTCTCAAGAGCATTTGAAATCATACTTCCTGGCATTGTCATAAATTTGGCTCAAACTTATAAAGTTCTCTACAGGTTTGGACACCTCTTATGTCAACAGGGAGAAGAGAAACTCAAAGCCCTTACTCATCTTTCTTTAGAAGTAGCTTTGAAATTTAAAGGTGACCTTTTTGACTTTATTACCTGGCCTTCCTTTTATCACCCAAATGTCACTATTGAAATCAGAATTCCTGAGATTTCTAGCCTATTTCTAGGATCATTCTATTTTCAGGAGCAGTTTATTGCCTCTCCAAAATCTTCACCTTGTCTAGATACCTCTTTCTTTGCTCACTGTTCCAGGATTAGTATTCTTTTCCTGAACTACTTTTTTCTATCAACAATAAGAAAGCTGCTGTAAGTAAAGAGTGCCATTTAGAGGAGCAATGCGGAAACTGGGGATGAATAAAGAAAAGGTGGTAGAGTGAATCTGACTGAGAAATAGATTAAAAAGTTAAGATCAGTAAAAGGAAGGTGATTCAGGCAGTCTCATGTCCAAGGATATTGCAAAATGCTACTGAGAAAGGCATCTTCCATAAATGATATGCTAAATGGACATCTTGCTGGAGCTGGAAAATCCCTTAAGGAGGAAAGTATATCTGGGAGCATAACAAGATGGACTCTTCCCATTGATTTTAGCTAAACTCAATAAATTTGAAAAAAAAATCACTTTATAAAAGTATTATCAGCTCATTGCTGATTATTTGGAAAGTAAAAGGAAAATAAGTACATAAAATTTCCCTATAATTAGCTGTTGAGATGTGGCTAAAGAATACAAATGTGAGTTAAGGAGAAGAGAATAAACTCAAAAACAGAGTAATACAGAGCAGAATTTTTTGTAGGAATGATGAATAGCGGTTAGAGCATAGCATACCTAAAGGACAGTGATGAAACATAAGGTGGGAAACAGAAGGTTGAGGTGAAGTCCTCTGTGGACAGAGGCCAAGTCTTTCTTTATCTTTATTCCTAGTAGTGTCTGGCGCAGTGTGTAATATAAGAATGAGTGAATGAGGTGCTTTATGATGGTTAAGAGCATGGACTTTTGAATCCGACAGGTCTCAGGTCTAAACTGCAGTTTCTGGCAATTTCTAGCTTTGTAGCCTTGTACCAGTTGTTTAATTACTTTAATCTTCAATTTCTTTAGGTATAAAATGGAGAGAGTGGTACACATTCTGTCAGGTTCAATCCATACATGTATGTAAAGTACTTGACACTTTGCATAAACTAATAAACCTTCAATAGACAGTTCATTATAATAATAACCATCAGGACAAGAATGAATTTGGAATGGTCTTTCATGCCAGGGATTTGGGCTTACTAGGTAGGTCCTGAAAGACAGTTTTAATTTGGCATCAGCTAAGAGAAAGAAGAGACCAGGGATTGAGAAGCTAGTTATTGGCCATTTTGATAACCTAGGGTAGAGTTTGCGAAGTCCTGGATAAGAGTGGTGGCAGTAGTAGTGGAAAGGAGGAGGCGGCCTGATGAAAAAGGACCAGAGAGGGCTGGTAACGTATCAGATGGAGAGAAGGAGGAAGAAGAATGAGAATTCAAAGATGACTTCCATTTCTGTGATTACAGGGAAGTCTCAAAAGATATCTCTTTTAACAATGGACCATTTTATTCCTCTTTTTCTTTTTTTGGCCCCCATAATTTTTATAACTCCAAAGTCAGCAGGTGTTGGGTGAGTTTCCTCCTTTTATGAGATGATCTGTCAGTCACTCCTACACTTCAGCAGTCTGTCCTTAGCATTGACATACTGAATGTGCTAAATGAGAAGCTAAGTACCTTGTTTGTGTATCAACTGCAGTTGTGTTTGCAATGGGAAGCAAAATGTACAAAAAAACACCTCCGGAAGGAAATGTAGTGACTCAAGTTGTCAAATGTATCTGGGTAAGTCCATGTATTATTTACATGCCTTTTACAATCAGAGAAAGATGCTATGCTGAGCATATAGGCTTTCAAAGATGGGTATACAGTTTTCTCAATGACCACTACACATCTGTGCCTTTTGGCAGAGTGAAATTAATCAGTCTTCCTCTGTGCTCCAACTTAACCATTAAGTGAAAAAGAAAGATGTAATTATTTTTTTAAGTTGGCAAAAATCTTCTGAAATGTAGTTACATATGTTGTCAACAAGACATAAAGATAAATAAAATTACATCTGGAATATTCTGAAATTCAGTGTCTAATTAAACCAAAGGGTTGGAATAAGTCACTTGAAGTATATGTGCTTGAGGGAAGGGATGATGAATTGGAAAAGGCAGGAAATAGTTTTTTTTTGTCTCTCCTCTGATGTCTATGCTCTGCCCTAGTTTGCTATTTCTAACCGTTTTAAGAACCATTCTGGGGAGATTCCAAAGAGACAGCACTGGCTGGATTGGGCAGCTGAGAAATACCCAGTAAGTTGAAACTTCAGAAATATCTTATGCCTCTGTAGCATCTTTCCTAATATCCAAAGTGATTCCCCCCCTGCTGTATTCAACCTCTTCTCTTACTGTTCTGGGGTACCTCTATTGCAACCAAGAAAACCATGTCTAGCAATTCAGCCTATTCCTTCTTTCCCTTTCTTGCAGAAGCAGCTCATTACAGATGTGAAGGCACTGACCAGGGTATTACTCCTTTACATCCCATTGCCCATGTTCTGGGCTCTTTTGGAACAGCAGGTAAGAACAGTTCTTTTGAAAGCCGCCCACCCCTTTTCCCAGCCACTTCCCTCTTACAGAAAAGGGATTTTTGCTTCTTTGTTTTTCTTTTTTCAACCCCTCCACCCTCCCCCTGCCTACTCCCCACCCCTGACAGCTGTCAGCCTGCTCTCTGTGAGTCTGTCTCTGTTTTACTGATTAGTTCATTTTGTTCAACTCATGGACACAGACAACAGTGTGGCAATTACTGGGGGTAGGGAGGGTTTAGGGAGGTAGAGGAGAGTATAAGGGAATAAATGATGATGGAAGGAGACCTGAATTTCGTTGGTAAGCACACAACAGAGTATATAAATGATGTGTTGTAAAATTGTGCATCTGAAACTTGTATGACTTTGTTAACCACTTTCACACCAATACATTCAAAAGAAAAAGAAAGAAGGAAGAAAGGAAGAAAGAAAGAAAAAGAGATTTCTGATAATGGCATCTGTCTGCCTTAGGGCTCACGATGGACCTTGCAAGCCACCAGGATGAATAGGAATTTGGTGAGTTGAAGAGCTTTGCCAGAGAAGTCTGCTATTTTCTTTATAATCTATATTCAGAAAAAATTAATTTATTTGTGTTTTTTGCCTGAAAACTGACTTAAGATGATAAAACAGGTACCTTTAGTATGACAGTTCTGAGTAGGCAAAGTAAAGAAATTGAGTCTACAAATAAAAACCAGAATCTTATTAGAAATCAGGAACATAAGGATGAGAAAGGAAGTATTGAGAAGATAGCAAACGAAATGCTCTAGACCTTCCATCTCAGCCTGCCCTGCACAGCAGAGACAGGTTCAATTTTGCTTGTACACAGTTGGCCCCATCTTCTTGTCAAGAAGCACAGCACAGGACCTAGACATGGGGTGTTCTCTACCTGGATGTGGAAAGAATGGGAAAGTCGTTGAATAAATTCTTCATTCTTTGGTAAACTCACATAGTTTCATCTCTGCTCTCAATTATTCTACTTCCCAAATTATTCTCTTGATTTATTCCATCTCAGTCACAAAGAGAGAAGGGTGAAACAATGCCAGGGTTTTATTAGTCAGTCTATTTGCAAAGGCCAGTCTAAAGGCCAAATATCATTTTACCTTTTTCCTTCCTCTGGTTGTCTGGGATTTACCATGATTGTCCTCTTATTGATCCCATGGAGAACAATTTTGGAAATACTGTGTGTGTCAGTGGGAATCTTCACCCTAACCACGATGGCTGGCCCTCATATTATTACCACCTAAAACTGCAGATACTGAGATTAATAAAAACACACTGACTCTGTTCTCTCTGAATTTAAGGAAAGCATAGTACATAGAAAAGAATATTCCGCCTTAGAGCCATCAGCAAACATAGCCTGAAGCCGTTCCCAGTCTGTTCCCCCACATACACTTATAAGCATGATAGTGGCCCTGAACCAAAGACCTGATGAATTTTAACTTATGCTTAATGCCTGCTAATTATCAAGACTGTTAATTTAGCCACCTCTAAATTTAATTTATTATATTGTAATGTTTCAGGGTTTTATTGTGCTTCAGCCTGACCAGATGCAGGTAGGACACTTCTTTATAGTCATGGGACTTATTTCTCTTTTCATCTACACCTCTACCCGTAGTATTAGGATTTCCAACAATAATTTGATGTTATTTTGCCTTGTAAGGTGAAGTGTGCTAGGAATGGGGATGAATATATGCTCCTTAAGCCTCACACTCCTTTTTCACATCTTCTGTTACGTAAGCAACTCCTGCCCAACTCCAGAGAGAGTGGGTTTTGAGCTCACAGGAAAAGTGTAAGCATTGACTTTCTTTTTCCACGGCAAAGTAGTATAATGGAAATATTGTCAAAGAAAGTGGAAAGCTTTGTTCTGTGAGCAACAAAGTCAGAATCTCTGTTCACTGGTGACTCCCAGTTCCTTTTTTAACCCCTTTACTCGACAGGCCCCAATTCTTCCTTCTTTTCTTCATTTCTTCTGGCCATGACATTTTCCTCTGGGCTGTCGAAATGGAGAAGATAAGTGAAAACGAGAGGGAAGAACTCCCAATTGATTGACAGAAAAACAGGTTCAGAGTGAAACTGGTTCTTTGGGATATTTGGCAACTAAGGTGCTTTGCAAGTCTTGGGTGTGAAGCGACTAAGGTGGAATCATTTTGTACTCAGTGTGATGAAAGTGTATTTGGATGTGAAAGAAAATGCACAATATCAAATGAGAGCACCTACTCACACTTTTTTTATGAGAACACTAGTAACTAATCTTTTTTTACCGTGGCATTACAGGTGCTAAATCCCCTTCTGGTTCTTATCTTCATCCCATTGTTTGACCTTGTCATTTATCCTCTGGTCTCCAAGTGTGGAATTAACTTCTCGTAAGTGCTCATTATGCCTGTGTTGCTCCAGGCTGACTCAATCTTTGCTCAGTTTGATAAAGATTCATTGTCAGTATTTTTATACCTAGGAATGATTTATTTTGGTTTATCATTTTTCTATTTACCCATGTTAGACTAAATGCCATTAATACTAGAGGATGAGAATTAGAACTAACTCATTCTTATTGTAGAGAGTCTAAGCCATTACTTCAGACTGAACTGTGCAGTGTGGAAGGGGTAGGTCTAAGTGTCATGGGAAGTCAAGAGATGTGAGAGTAGGTTCCTAAACCAACTTCTCCCTTTGCTCTTGAATGCTGCCTCTTCAAAGAAGTCTAAAGCTTTTGATGACAACCAATCTCTTTAAATCTCCTATTGTCCCTATATAACCAGTAAGGGGACCTGGCAAGAGTGGGGATAGAATTGTCCCTGTTATTCTTTGTACAGTTTGGCAGAGGAGGTTTTCAAGCCTCTTCTAATTCCTGATTTAATAGCAATTTCCTTTTAATGGCCACTTTACCCCATTTAAATGACTTTTCGTCATTTATTCATTCACTGATCAAATTTTAGTGGGTTCAACATCAAGTGCCATGCAAATGTAAAATCACAAATCTTGTCCTCAAGGAGCTTACTGCTTAATAAGGGAGTGGAACCTACACACAGTTAATTATGTATGTTAAGTGCCCTAAAAAGGGAGATTTAAGTGCCAGAGAAGTTTAGAGAAGTCTGCTGCCAGGGTCAAGGAAAACTTCTGAAGAAGAGGAAAATGAAATAATAATGTATAGTGCCTGGCATATGGTAAATCTTCAATTAGTCTGGCTGCATTACTATTAACTTGCTATCATGACATGATGGGTAGAAAAACTATCATAAGCCAAGGTAGATGTGGGAAAGTGCAGTGCATTGCAAAGAGCCATTCCATGCGACTCCAGTCAAGGGAGAAAGAAGGACGTGTGACAGGGCGTCTAAGAAATACTTTGAAAGTAACTGGGGCCAAATCAGGAAAGGTCTTCAATGGTGGGCCTAGAGGTTTTGGATTTCTATCCTATAGAGCTTAAAGTTGAGATATAACTCTCTCTCTCCCTCTCCTCTGCAGATCACTTAGGAAAATGGCTGTTGGCATGATCCTAGCATGCCTGGCATTTGCAGTTGTGGCAGTTGTAGAGATAAAAATTAATGTGAGTTCAATAAATCTTAAGCCCCCTGAGTACAGGACCTTATCTATCTCATCCACTCTTCTAATTCCTGGGGACCTAGCACAGTACTTGTTTTAAAGAAGGTACATAGTTAATATTTGTGATAAATGAGTAGATAGATACAGGGGTAGAGCTGCAATGAAAAACGATACTCATCTCTCACCTGAGTGATTCAGAATGTATTGTCAAGGAATTTCCAAACACTAATATCCAAGTTATGTAGCCATCTCTTTGGAAACACAAGCTAACCCGATAGCTTACCAGATAATCACACAAGCACCTTTTGGCAGATTGAATAATCATTCTTAGGAATGATGCATGAGGCCACAGCTGAGTCAAAACGCATGGTTTGTTACTTGGCGTCCGTGCTTGATGCACTGAGCTGGTGTTTCCGCTTCAAAATGCCTTCAGAGTTTTCTAAGCCAAATGCTCTTCAGAGGGAGAAAATTGTGTCGACCTGACTAGATGGATGAGGCTGTCAGAAATAGGATTGAGACATGTTCTCTTTGTATTCAGAAAGTTTACTGTTGGTGATTCTGACATGCGTTCTCTGTCCTAAGGAAATGGCTCCACCCCAGCCAGGTCCCCAAGAGATCTTCCTACAAGTCTTGAATCTGGCAGATGATGAGGTGAAAGTGACAGTGCTGGGAGATGAAAACAATTCTCTGTTAACAGAATCCATCAGATCCTTTCAGGTAAAGACTCGAATGAATTAAAAACACCCTGGTTAGGCACCGAAGCAGCAGCATAAGATCGTGGTTAAGAGCAGGCATTTGTGGAGTCAAACTGCCTCAGTCAAATTTCTGGTCCTGCCACTCCCTACCTATAAGACCCTGAACAAGTTATTTTATCTCTAAACTTCTCTAGGTTTCACCATGTGTAAAATGGTAGTAATTTTTAAGTCAGAAGCCACTGTAAGGATAAGTATTATATGTAAAGTGCTTAGCATAGTGTCAGGGACATTGTAAGCTCTCAACAAGTTATTTGTATCATTATTTCAAACTGCCTCTAAACCACACTTCCTTTGAAAAAAATCTGACCTGTATGTTTTCAATTTTATTACTGTGCATATTCTGAAATATTTACTTAAAAAGTAACATACATTTATTTTTGAAAATTGGGGAGTATGTAGAAAGATACAAAAACCATCTATAATTCCATCACTCTGAGATAATCACAGTGAGCATTTTTTTATAACCGAATAGACAATCCAATTTTTAAACAGTGCTCAAACTTTGTTATTGATCTTGATTCTTTCTTAACATTAATTGTATCATAAGCATTTTCTCCATATTCTTACATAATCTTTGAGAACATGATTTTAATGGACACATAATATTCCTGTGGTTATCATCATTTTTAAAGATTTCCTTATAGATATTTATGTTTTTATTATTATATATGACCCTATGATGAATATCCTTTCCTTACTCATAAATATTTATGCCTGCCTCTAATTACTCCTCTGGTATTGTCCTAAAAATGGATTTACTAGATTAAATGATAATGTTGAAACTGTCTCAGGAACTTGCTCACTCTGGGATGCTCTGGGATTAGGATGTCCAAGATGTGGTAGAAGGTGAGTATGATAGGTTTTTCCTTCTACAGAAAATGCCACACCCTTCCAAACTCCACCTGAAGACAGAAAGCCAGAATTTCCAATTCCACCTAAAATATCACAATTTGTCTGTCTACACTGAACATTCTGTGGAAGAGAAGAAATGCTACAGTCTGGTCATTCGAGAAGATGGGAAAAGTATTTCCAGTATGATGGTAAGTTGAGAAATGGCCTAGGTTCAAAATTGTTATCTTAGAGTATAATGGCTGGCTCAGCAATCTTATCGAGTATACCTAATGATAAAAGTTTCTGATTATTGGCTCCCTGTTGTCAGCTGTAACCGATTTTTACTTTTCTCTATTTCAGGTGAAGGACGCAGAAAACATAACAACCAATGGGATGACAGCTGTGAGGTTGGGATGTCAAGGACACCCCGGGCCACTCTATTCTCTTGAATCTTGGGTCTCTTCCGATCTTCAGAGGATGAGGCCTAGCATTCCACTTGTCCTGTACAGGGATTCTCTCTCCTGGAATGTCAGAGGCATGGGTGTCGGAAGGCATTTTCTGGGACACAGAGCAGATAGGCTTGCTTTCCAATGCGGTGTTCAAAGATGACCCTGTATCTGTGTATGTCTCCTATGCTCTGATGCACACATCTCCTCTACTGAATTTTATATTTATCTTGTTCTCAGGAAAATAACTCAGTACTTTCCTCTTTGATGACTAGAGAGAACTTTATAAGTGAGCAAATAATCCTTCATTGTTGGTAGTTGAATATCTCTTGTTACTGTGCTTTCAAAGTATAATTTTTATTTTAAACTTAAAGAGGCATCATGGTATAATAAAGATAACAGATTTGGAGTCAAAATACTTAGTTGTGAATTCAGATAAGCCTGAAGGTCTTGTCAGACAGCCAGGGACAGTTACAGAGATGGAGCACTGAAGAGGTCACGTGCCTTCTGTGGCAGGGATCTGATGTGAAACAGACAGGTGCACTCACCTGTGGCCATCAAGCTTATGTGGTTGCTGTTAAAAGTTGGTAGGACTCCTTGGGTTGGAAGACCAGAGGAACCCCCACAAGGGGTGAAGGGGGAGATTCCTAGATCAGTGCAGGATAATCTATAGTCCAAGATGAACATTAAGGATTTTAGAGGGAACTTCCCTTCTTGTCCCATGGGCCAGAGACAAAGGCAAAAGCTATCAAAATAGAAATGTACAGAAAACCATACTGAGGGAACAGTTTAGGGGCCTAGATTAGGAAGACTAAAAAGATAAACCTTGAAGGGTCCAGGATTGTCTGTAGACTCCAAAACAATGATAACTCGACCTAATTATGGTCTGTGAGTCTGAGTTTACATAAGTCTAATCAGACTTCATTTCTAAGAGGATAAAGTATCAGTTTTATATAAATACTGGTATACATTTATATGTACATAATCATTTTTCTTAATGGAGTATCAATTGGCAAATCTCACCATTATAAGAGGGAAAGAAATTGGGTGCACCAAGCTGGGTTAGTGAAGAAGCTCAGACTGCCATGGGTGATCATGATAGTGCTAATCCCAGCTAGAGATCAGTGTGAGGGTATGGCCGACAGAAAGCTAATTCCTCAGGAAGGAGGAAGGTAGGGACAGCTAAGACTACTGGTCAGTCTTTTTACTACTTTTTACATCTGAGTTGATTCATTCATTCAGTTAACAGTATACATGTACCTTTTACGTACTAGGCACTGCTCTAGGCACCGGCATATAGCAGTAAATGGAACAGAAAAGGCCCCTGCCCTTTTATTATGTCTCCTTGTTTGGGAAGGTTTGTCTGATCTGTGACAATGTCTCTACTCTTAAGGTTTGTTAATACTTTGCATAAAGAGGTCAATATCAACCTGGGTGCAGATATCTCCCTCAGTGTTGGTGAGGACTACGGTGTGTCGGCTTACAAAACGGTGCAAACAGGAGAGTAAGAATGTTTATTACGCTTTGGGCATTTTACTTTATTAACAATTTCTTAAATGTTTGCATATAGATGGGGGTATAGCGAGATAGTAAGTACACCTTGGCTAATTGTGAGTACACATAGACTCCAACTCTTTTTTGACCCTTGCCACCTTCCCTCAGTCTCACCTTTCTCTACACAGATGTACTGAGATCACGATTGCTGTGAAGGCCATACTGTGTAGTTAATAAGGCGCATTTCTGGGAGGTTTGCAAAGTTCATTATGTACTGCCTGTTGGCACATCATTACTTCAGGCTTGAACCCTTTTGGGTTCACTGTTTTATATTGAGAAAAATCCGTAAGACTTAGATGAGAATACTTAGAGCCTGGAGCCCACAGAAGAAGATGATTGGTGCTTTCTTTATTTGGGTTTAAGTTTAAAAAAAAATACCCGATGGACAATTAAAGGCTCAGATCAATGGAAGAAAAGCTTGGCATAAAAATAATTGACTCCTTGAGACTCCTCTCTTTAAGAGAAACGGTGGCTTTGATGTCCAACTCACCATCGATAAAGAAATGAGATCCTTCCCCTGGTGACAGGAGTGCTTTTCTAAGCTACAATGTTTATTCTAACCTAAACTCCTCCTATTCCAGATACCCTGAGGTGCATTGTAGAACAGAAGATGATGACTTTTCACTGAATTTGGGTCTACTAGACTTTGGTACAGCTTACCTGTTTGTCATTACTAATGTAAGTAGTTCATGGCCACCCCTGCACTCTCCTTCCATATACCTGTATGTATATCTATGTCTATCCTGGAATCAAAAGAAAACTTTGTGGCAAGACAGGATCCCATATTTATTTCCAGTGGAAGATGATAGGTTCATGTGTCTTCAGGAAGCCTACTGAGGTCTCCACATGGGGCATTAAAAGAGATAGCGTTGGCAGGAGGCACAGGGTCTAGAGGAATGGAAGACATAATTTATCTGGAGCCATTGCTATGAGGTGACATGTACTCCTTCAGTCACATTATGGCCCTAAGAAAACAAAGATTATTCACGGCTTTTTGACTGACTCCACATGCAAGTCATGAAGGCTGGAAGTCCAAGATCAAGGTGTTGGCGGGGTTGCATCCCTAAGAGGGCTGTGCAGAAGAATCTTCCAGATCTTTTCTCTAGCTTCTAGTGATTTTCTGAAAATATTTGGTGTTCCCAGGTGTGTAAACAAATAATCCTGGTCTCTGCCTTTATCTTTACAAGGATGTTTGTCAGTACAGGGAGAACTCCATGTCCACATTTCTCTTTTTAAAGAGGACACCACTCATACTGAATTAGGGCCCACCCTGATGGCCTCATTTTAACTTGACTAATCATTCTGCAACAACCCTATTTCCAAATAAGGTCACATTATCAGGCACTAGGGGTTCAAACTTCAACATGTGAGTTTTAAAGGGACACAACCACACCCACAATGCTTGCATTCTGGGTTTTACTCCATTTTTTGTTTGTTGTATTTCTCATATGCTGCTCAAGACAGACCTGCATGTATTGTTTCTGAATGCCAGGATCTAAGAAGCATCCAGAGGAGAGATTATAAATTGGAGGCCTGGGGGCCAAGTTCTTCCATATCCTGGTTTGTTTGGTCTGCACAGTATTGATGACAACAATTGTTATTAATTGCCAATATTTAAAACTCAAGAGATTTTATACCTAAAAGCTAGATTCATAACATTTCTTAAAAACAGTATCAGAAGATTTTGTAACAAGAATCCTATGTCAGTTGGCTGGTGCTGTAATGGCTGTAACCCCTTAGATGGGGCCTGTGCTGTCCAGTACACCACACAGCCCTCATTTCCAGCCAGCCAGCCACAGTTACTGACCTGCTTATGTGTATTTGAGTATGTGAACTTGATGTAGAAGCACAGGTCTTTTCTCTCAGGCTGAGAAGACTCCAATATTGTATATGCTCAATACCTACTAAAGCAAAATTTTCCTTATTATTTTAACCCAATGGCCCTTTGACTCAGAGAATCAACCACATTTAGACATCAAAAACATTTTATTTCAAAGACTTCTGATTTTGACTGTGCCATTTTTTTCCTCATTGTATATTCAGGTATTATACCTGCTATCTAAGAATGGTTTTACTCTAAGAAATATATATAATTAAAAAAAATTCCATTCAATTTATAACAAACATTAGTAGGCATAATTTATATAAAATCAATCATAGCTAAAAACCTACATACAGTAAGAGAAGTTTTAGAGACAAAAAAATTGTAGAATCATGTATATTTGGTAACATTCCTAACAAAAATTTGAGACTAAAAATTTCTTTTGACCAAAATTTTACAGAAAATTTGCAGTGTTTTGAAAATTTCAGTGTGTAAGGTTTAAGTTAAAAAAAATATGGCCAGTAAAAAGAATTCAAAGTAGTAGCTGAGCTCTGAACCGTGTGGCTCAGTTGGCTGGGCATCACCCCACTAAGGGAAAGGTCACCAGTTCTGCTACCTGTCAGAGCACATACATGCCTGAGTTGTGGATTTAGTCCATGGCTGGGGCACAAATGAGAGCCAACTGACTGATGTTTCTCTCTCACATCAGTGTTTCTCTCTCTTTTTTTCAATCCCTCCCCTTCTCTCTAAAATTAAATAAATAAAATTGAAAAAATAGCAGGTGGTATTTAATGTGTGTTTTTAAAAATTGATCAGTAAAATCTTCAATGTAAGGGTTACCAAGAAAATCATTCATTCTGATAAAATTTTAGTAAAATAAAAAATTTAATGGAAAATGTTGAAAACAATTTAATTCTATTTGTATAGGAAAAGGAATTAAATTTTTCTCAATAACATGTTTTCTGAAAATTCATTGTGTTTGTATAATAAAGATACCATTTTATACTTAAAATGTTGATGAGGATCAAAATACCTAATAGGTCAAAATGGTGGGAATCCAAAGCATAATATCAAAATATTCTGCCACTTAAGGACTCTGTCAATGATGGTATCTGAAATCGGGCAAGTGAGTGCAGTGTTAAAGAAGGGAATTCCAAACAACTAAAATTGTGTAAAAATTGCTCAATCTCTTGAGGGGAGCAAAAGGATAAAAATAAAAGAGGAGAGTTCTGGCCAAGATGGAGGCATAGGTAGAAATGTACCACTGCCTCACACAACCAAAAGAAGGATAACAACCAATTTAAAAATAAAAAACAACTGGAACTCCCAGAAAATCAAAGTGTATGGAACTCTGACAACCAAGGAATTAAAGAAACATTCATCCAGACTGGTAAGACAGGTGGAGATGGGCAACCAGGCAGGAGGAGAGGACACAGCCAGGCAGTGGACCATGTGGGTGAGGTGGGGGCTGGCTAACCAGCTGGTCCCACATCTGCACCCAGATAAACTGGGAGGAACAACGGGACCAAGACAGACTGTGAAACCCAGGGTTTCTGCATGGGAAACTAAAGACTGAAAACCTCTGGCTGTAAATCCTGTGGGGATTGCAGACATGGGAGAAACTTCTAGTCTCTTGGGACAGTCCATTGGAGAGACCCACAGGGTCCCAGAACGTACACAAACCCACCCATCTGAGGAATCAGAACCTGAAATCCACTTGTAGGAAGCAAAGGAAATGACAGAAAGTGGAGTAAGAGCCAAGCAAGTGGCATTGTTCCCTCTGATCCCTTCCCCATAGACAGCACCTCTATGTACCAAAGAAGTTTGTCCTGTCCTGGTGAAAACCTAAGGCTCTGCCCCTTACAAGGTAACAGGTACCAAGATAAAGAAATATGACCCAAATGAAAGAACAGATCAAAGCTCCAGAAAAAGCTAAGTGATGAAGAGATATACGACCTATTAGATGCAGAGTCAAAACACTGGTAATCAGGATGCTCACAGAAATTATTGAATTTGGTCTCAAAATGAGGGAAGAAATGAAGAGTAAAAAAAGTGAAATAAAGCAAAATATATAGGGAATCGACAGTGAAGGGAAGGAAACTGGGACTCAAATCAACAATTTGGAACAAAAGGAAGAAATAAACATCTAACCCAAACAGAATGAAGAAACAATTCAAAAAATGAGGAGGACCTGAGGAACCTCTGGGACAAATTTAAATGCTCCAACATCCAAATCATAGAGGTACAAATAGGAGAAGTGAAAGAGAAAGAAATTGAAAACTTATTTGAACAAATAATAAAGGAAAACCTCCCCAATCTGGTGAAGGAAATAGACTTCCAGGAAATCCAGGAAGCTCAGAGAGTCCCAAAGAAATTGGACCCAAGGAGGAACACACCAAAGTACATCATCATTAAGTTACCCAATATTAAAGACAAAGAATCTTAAAATCAGCAAGAAAAAAGAAGACAGTTACCTAAAAAGGAGTTCCTATAAGGCTATCAAGCTGATTTCTCAAAAGAAACTGCAAGCAAGAAGGGGCTAGAAAGAATTATTTGAAGTCATGAAAGACAAGGACCTACATCCAAGATTACTCTATCTAGCAAAGCTAGCATTTAGAATGGAAGGGCAGATAAAGTGCTTCTCAGCAAAGGTCAAGTTAAAGGAGTTCATCATCACCAAGACCTTATTACATGAGATGTTAAAGGGACTTATCTTAGAAGTAGAAGATCAAAAAGTATGAATAGTAAAATGGCAACCAACTCACAACTATCGACAAACAAAAACAAAAACTAAGCAAACAAATAGAATGGAACAGAACCAGAGACATGGAGATCACATGGAGGGTTATCAGCAGGGAGGGGGAAGGGAGAATGGGAAAAAAAGGTACAGGGGATAAGAAGCATAATTGGTAGGTACAAAATAGGCAGGGGGAGGTTAAGAATAGTATAGGAAATGGAGAAGCGAAAGAACTTATATGTGTTAACCATAGACATGAACTAAGGGGTGGTGATCCTGGAGGGCGGTGAGGTGCAGGGCAGAGGGGGATAAAGGGGAGAAATAAATTAGGACAACTGTAATAACATAATCAATAACATATACTTTAAAAATACAAAGAGAGGATGGATAAAAATCATAGAACACTGTATGTAAGGAATTGGCACTTGAGAGTGGCGACAAACCTATTTATCTTTTCCCTCACAAAGAACACCAATCAGGGTCCTCAGGTGTGGAAGACAGAAGACATTCCAGCCAACAAAATATCCATTGCATGGCAGCTGCCACAATATATACTGGTTTCAGCTGGGGAGGTCATGTTCTCTGTCACAGGACTTGAGTTTTCTTATTCTCAGGTAGGTCTTTGCAAGTAGAAAGTGAAAATGGACATATTGCTACAGGGGTGTCCAACCTTTTGGTATCTCTAGGCCACTCTGGAAGAAGAGTTGTCTTGGGCCACACATTAAATACACAAACACAAACAAAAAATTTCATAATGTTTTAAGTAAATATATGATTTTGTGTTGAGGCATATTCACAGCCATTCTCAGTCACATGCAGCCTGGGGGCCACGGACTGTACACCCCCCCCACGATGAATTTTAATTCTGGCACCACCTTAAATAACTATGTGTTGTGGTCAAGACCTTCATATAGGTGTTGGCCTTAGACTCCTTACGAATGACAATGACCCTGTATAGAGGGTCATCTTGTTTCCCAGGATCATGGAATAGCATAGTAGCCTATGGTATTTGATATCTGAACGAATACTTAAAAATTAAGAAGAAGGACTATGGAGTCAAACTGCCTATGTTCAAATTTTGGCTGCACAATTTATGTAATCCCAAGCAAATGAATTTTTATTTCTCTAATGCTATTTTTCATTATGTATAAAATAAGAATACTAACAGACCTAATTTCTTAGGGTTATAATGAAGATTATGTAACATAATAAATTAAAATATTTGATTAAGAGCTCTGTCCTGTTATTACTATTAACATTATTAACACCCTCTGAATCAATGTGACAGCTGAATTCAGTGGGGAAAGTTTAAATCTGGAAACTTTTGTAGAAGAATTATTCTAGATAGATGCATGGAACATGAGGGTGGTATAGCAATTTTATTTACTGACAAACTCGTGTTTTCCCTAGGCTCCCTCTAGCATGAAATCCGTACTCCAGGCAGCCTGGTTGTTGACAATTGGAGTTGGGAATGTCATTGTGCTTGCTGTAGCACAGTTCAGTGGCCTGGTACAGGTATTGATCTGAGAGAAGCAGAGCGTCTGTCTATCCAAGATTTCCCCTTCAGATTCCTCTTCTTCTTCCTCCCCCACCCCTCTGCCTCCCATGTGCCCCATGTGAGACGGGTTAGATGCACACAGACTTTGCAAGAAAAACAGACATATGAAGTGTAAGTAACGGCCACCACATGCCCATGTAAGGAAAGATCAGTGAACCCAGTCTTCTTCTAACAAACCCCTGCCTAAATGGTGAGCCTGGGTCAGGCTGCTCCCCAGTTCTCATCCTTTGAAGAGCCCTTCAGTTTCAGGTTTCTCCGTATTTTTTCTTATATTTATTTCTTCCTGCAGTGGGCCGAATTCGTTTTGTTTTCCTGTCTCCTGCTGCTGGTTTTCCTGATCTTCTCCATCATGGGCTACTACTATGTTCCTGCAAAGTCAGAGGATATTAAGGAGCCAGAAGATAAACAGATTCCCCCTATCCAAGAGGATATGACCAATCTGGAGATCAATAACACAAAACTGTAATGACTCCCAAGACTCTGCCCCAGCCCAAATTCCTGACCCTGGTCTTAGTCATCACCGAATTTTAAGCATTTTTTTTCTCCTATTTGGTAAGGAGTCAGAGGTAGCATCATATCTGAGCTGATCTCCTCAACTTTTCTCCCATGATAGAGGAAATTCTGGAATTTGAAGTACATTAAAGAGCAAAGCCCCTGAGACTCTATGTCTTCCTATGTATCAGTGAACTCAGTAAACCTGTGTAGTGTTTGTGAAGCTGGCCTGTGTAGTGTTTCAAATGGCCATGAAAATACAAAAGTATGATTGAGATTAGTCTCTGTGGTTATGCAAAATTATGTGAGAATTCCTTTACCTACTATTTAGAGCTGATGACCCCACTTTCTGAGATGCCAATTTAGGGGCAAAATTGCAGAAACGGAGAAATAGTAGTTCACGTTTCTTCATAAGCAATGTCATTGAATACTCACAGAGACTTCGAGAATTGGTATATATGGTGTGATCTTGTCCAGGGGCTGGCTTATCAGCTATCCAAGTTTGATAAAACCTTAATAAATTTTTCAGTACAGAATGATACTTTATTAACCCAGTAGAAGATATATCTTTATTATAATTATAGTATTTTATCTACTATCTCAAACATCCCTTTCTCAGAGCTGATAGGTATTTGGAAATCAACTTAAACATAGTAAACATTGGTAAATATAGTTCTGGGAAATAGAAATGGCTATAAATTGTAGGCATCATGATGAGTTCTTCTTCAGTAGACATTCTTCTGAGGGACTACAATGCTTCAGCACTGGTTTATGTCTTTCTGTAGATAGTTGTGTATATACTAACTAGAATTTTGAAACCCTGTCTTTTCAATGTTTTGGGGCCAGACTCTTCTCATTATTATATTATGTCTTACTTATTGCAACAAATATTTAATAACAGCAATCTTTTTATGAATCCATCTTCCTTTTTTATTATTACTCTCCTCAGCCTCAAATAAGGAGCTCCATTTTGATAACGTTTCTTGTTTTACTTTCCTCACAATTTTTAAATGCCATTTCTTTATTTAGCTTGGAAATTTCTTGCTTATTAAAAAAAGTTATATTAATACTCTACGTGTGAGTCTCTAAAATGGTGATGCTCAATGGAGGGGCATGATTTCATATGAGGATCCTATCACAGTCGGGGGAGGGGAGAACATGAGGGTCTGTTTGTTTGTTTGTTTGTTTCTGTGTTTATGAAAAAGGTGGGAAACATAACCTTGTGCACAATAAATGAATCCTTTGGCCCTGGCTGGTGCAGCTCAGTGGATTGAGCCTGGACCTGTGAACCAGAGGATCGAGGTTCAATTCCCAGTCAGGGCACATGCCTGGGTTGCAGGCCAGTTCCCAGCAGGGTACACACAAGAGGCAACCACACATTGATATTTCTCTCCCTCTCTTCTTCCCTTCCCCTCTAAAGAAAAATAAATAAAATCTATTTTTAAAAAATGAATACTTTGACAGACATGGGAATGTCATTACAATGTATGCTAAGAAAACAGTTCAGAACCACTGTGCTAGACAGCCTTATTTTCACTGGTTTTGCTCCGTTATTCTTACTTAGAACTGTGTTGAGTCTAACACTATAAACATAAAAAGTAAGAGAGGGTGCTCCAGTTTCCCAAATGGTATATACTTCAGTTTTAGTGACCTAGGTTTCAGAAGTACAGAAGTGACAGCAGCACTGTGCAGTTCCCCAGATACTTGGATGCGAACCAGAGCAGCTTTAACTCAGTCTGTTCAACGAAATATTGTTGGAAGGGATATTAACAGTGCTCTGTGGATAAAGGTTTCTATGGACAAATAGATTTTGGGAGTGGGGCATATTATATCTTAACATTTGTATATTAAAGATTCTGAGGAATCCAGCAGTAAAAACACAAAACATTCTGTAGAGCCTAACATGGTGTAGTGTTCTGCAGAACACTAGTTTGGGAAAACTGGTAGGCAATTCCTACTAATGCAGAAATACAGCTTCTTCTCTGAAACCTCCTGCCACACTGGCTCTTTTCCTTCTAGCTAACAAGAATACGCATAACCCCCGTTTCATGTGGCAGACCAGTTTCTATTTGAGGAGAGCTATCATGTCTCCTCCCCAATCATCAGGTAAGTATTCACCAAGCTAAAGATTCTCAGTTCCTTCATTGGTTTCCCACAGGGCATAGTCTGTCCTTTCACTACTCTGTTTTTCCTCTTCTGAAAAATATCCTTTGTCTGAAATGCATCAGCAGATCAGAATCCCTCTTAATATGTGATCCTAGAGCCAAATCCAACATTCCAGAACTGGTCTGACTAGAACTGGGATCTGCCTGTCTCTAAACAATACACATCTGTTAATACAGCCTTAGGTAACATTAGATGTTTGGGGCAACTACATCACAACAAAGGCTTATCTTCTAGCTCCATGGTCGGCTAAAATCTCCAGTTTTTAAGAGAGCTATTGTTTACACCTTTGAGTTCTACTCTATGCCATTCACTAAGTTAGGTATTGGAAAAACAAACTCTACTACACCTGTGTACAAAGTTACCTCACTTATTTTGACTGACTGTCAAGAGTCTAGAGAGTGCCAAGGTCTTGAAGAAACAATGGTATATTGAGGAAGAGCAAGGCCACTATGACAGAACTGAATAAGTAAGGTATGAAGAGGTAGAGGATGCGGTCAGAGGAAGCTAGGGACCAGATCGTGTGGGGCCTTGTGACCATGGTAAGATATTTTGATGTTATTCTAAGTGAGATGTGAATCGTTGGAGGTTTAGAACATGGGAGAGACGTAGTCTAATTCTCCATTTAAGCTTACTGTGGCTGCTGAGTGGAGAATTGTCTATAGACAGGAAGGAAGGGTGTCCAGTTAACCAATTAGAAGATTTTTATAATAATCCAGGCAAAAGCTGACCGCTACTTGGACGAGGTGACAATAGTGGATGTGGAGATGTGTTAGAACTTAACACTATGGTAGGACGGTCATGATTTAAGTATGGTTTATATATATGGTTTGAAAGAAAGAAATCAATGCTGATTCTTAGATTTGGGGCTTGAGTTTCTGGGATAGAGAAGACTAGGGTAAGAATAGGTTTGGGGTGTAAAGTAACTAATAGTTTTGTTGTATGCGTGTTAAACTTCAGTTGCCAATTAGGTATCTGATTGGAGATGTGAGCTGGTAATTTCATGAATCTGAGTTAGGAGCCTAAAGCTGGAAATACAAATTTGAGAGTCATCAACCTATAGATGGTATTTAAAGCCACAACACTGGGGGAAATATCCTAGGAAGTGAATGCAGACAGAGAAGAGGTTTTCCAACATTAGACGTCTAGAGGCAGAAGAGGATCCATCAAAGGTAATGAGAGTGAGTGACCTCTGAAGTAAGAGAAAAACCAGGAAAATATGATTTAATGTAGATGACATATTCTTTATTACAGTTAGAGAAAACTAAAATTGAAAAAAATATTTGACCTAAAGAAAGCACATGTTCCTGTTAGTAAACCTGAGTTCTGGTAATTTCTATGTAAGTTTATCCAAATCCTTTTACCTTCACAATTTAATTCCATTTAACAGAACTTTTTTTTAAAAGCCTGCCAGACATTATGTCAGGAGCCATGTGAGAATTAAATGGGTATGAATTCAAAAAGTCTGCTTTTAAGGAGTCTATAGAAGGAAGACAAGGCATGCGCTTAACTATCATTTAAATAAAATATAATAATTTTTGTTTGTTTAGCACCTAACTTTTCACATGCATTGTTCCAATCCTGAACACTGAAGATAGAATGTGACCTATGCCAGGGAAATTACAAAATGTTTTTTAAAAGTTCATAGAAAGGAGAGAATACATCTGGCTGTGGGAATCAGGGAGAATTAACAGTAAACATGGCGTAGATAGTACCGACCTTGAAGATAAGTAGAATTTGGACATGGAGGCAAGGAACAAGAGAACATTCCAGGTAGAGAGTCCATCACAAGCAAATGTAAGGAGGTGGGAAAACAAAACACCAGGGGACAACCCGCAGCCTGACCTGTGCAGTAAAGAGCGCCAAAGTAGCACTGCGTCTGAATGTCAACACAAAAATTATGACTACAGAAAACATACAGAACTTTGACACAGAGAATTGTGTTAAAGAAAGCTATTTCTTTAACAGAGAAAGCCATTGAGATTGTTAAAGATTTTTCTCATCTTGGTTTGGCCCAGAAATCAAGAGAAGCCTGAGACTCAGAAAGGCAGCAATGGAAGAATTAGAAAAGATCACCGAGAACACTAGAGATGTGTCATTAGAGACCACAGTTACGGTTACCCACACCCTCGTCTTCTCAGTTATAAGGGGGGGACCCAAAACAAAACTGGAATTATCTTCCGGCAGGCGGGCCCCTTGTAGTACAGGCTTCCCCCACTAGGTGAGTGTTTTAGGAACCCATCTGTATCAGTGTACCAACTGGCATTATGAGAGGCTGCCATTTGGCTTCAGTGGATTTTGTTTTGAAGACTCTCAATGTGTTTGCCCCTCTCATGATGGGTGATTAATGAGCACATCTGCTTACACTGCGCTGAGTATTCAGCAGTTTTTAACCAAAAACAGCATGACCGCTGTGCCCCACCCTGCCCATTCACTGATCTTGCTCCAAGTGACTTTTTTTGTTGTTGTTTCCCTGGATGAAACAAATCCTCAAAGGAATATGTTTTGCCAACATGGAAGAGGTGAAACAAAAAACAGCAGAAGCACTAAAAGGCATCAAAATCAGTGAGTTCAAAAACTGTTTTGAGCAGTGGAAAAAATGTCTCAATAGGTGTATTGCATCAAATGAAGAGTACTTTAAAGGTGACTGAAATTTACACATGTAACAATAAATACACAATTTTTTAATAAATAAATTCTGGGTGTTTATTGGGATCCCCCTTGTACTATGAATAGACATGAAACTTGGACAGTGAAAAAGGCTGGTAGGAAAAAAATGGATTCATTTGAAATACAGTGTTAGGAGAGAGCTCCCCGATACCCTGGACGAGCAGAAAGATACACAAGTGGGTCCTAACAGGTTTCACACTGTCCACTTCTCTCCTTTCTCAGTGCCATTATAGCAGTTGAAGGCATCGCCATGCCTCTAAAGTACTACAACAGCCTTTTAAGTTTCCTTTGTGCCTCCAATTTTTTCCTACATTCCTGGCACTATGATCTTTCTTACAATGCAATCCATATTGTTCTGCTGCTTAAAAACCCTCTGCTCCCTATTTACTCTAAATATAAACTTCCAACTCCTCAACAAGGCCATCTGGCCTGGCCTTTATCTAGGCTCATCCCTGCCACTGGCCCTGGTCAAGTTGCACACACCTACACACAGAGCGGTCCATTGAGATCTTAACCTGGATTTTATTGCATCTACAGGTCAGTGTGGAGCAAGCTGGCATCTTCACCATTTTGAGCCTTCCAAATCTCTCTGTCTCCCTCCTTCTAGCCTTTCCCTGCTCCTTCCCCTCCCCCCCACCTCTGCCCCCTTCCCTTCCTTTCTCACCTTCTGATACTCATAGAATAGTTTATACTACTCTTTATGTTTCTTATGTTCATTTTTATATTTTTTCCACCCTTTTTTCTAGCTATGTGCCAGCTCTGTGGTAGGTAAGGTAGTTGTGAGAACTTGCTGCTGCTGGAAGAAACTGACCTGACTTGGAGCACCTCAGAAAGGCTCTCTCTATGCCCGAGTGTTGTTGAAAAGAATAGCAAGCAGCCGTACTATGGGCACGGTTAGCATCACAGCTGCCTAGGGCTACACTATATATAGGTTGAGGCGGCAAGAGACCAGCCACATATTTTTAAGGGAGAGCTAGGGAAAGGAGTTTTGAAAGGGGAGTTTCGAAAATTCCTTCCAGTGTTCTTCCTAGTCCCAAGCCTCCTCCTGTTATTTCCTTTCTGTTTAGAGAACTTTCTGTAGCCATTCGTTCCTGGTAGGTCTGCTGGTGACAAAGTTTCTTAGTTTTCCTTCATCTGAGAACGCCTTTATTTTTCCTTTATTCCTGAAATATATTTTCAGTGGTTAATATAAATACAGTTAACAGTTCTCTTCTTTCAGCATGTGAAAAGTGTTTGCCACT